CAAAGACCGGTGTGTCGCAAACAATGTGATAATAGCATAGCATTGATTCATTCCACGAACAGCATTCAGATATCAATTTACATGGAAGTGCTAACAAATAGGTATTCTGGTAATATTAGCAGCACCTACAAATTGATTTGTATCTTATTTCATATTGTTTAGGTTTAGGAACATTATTACAATACAACATAAAGGAGTTGGTGATAGAACAACGTTGAATTGGGCATTGAGGAGAAATGTAAAACAACTGTACCTACTGCCACTCTGTACGAATGCGAGCCGATAGTACCTAATAAAATAGTAACGGTCCAAAAAACGTTTTCTATAAAATTCGAAGAATTTTAAATGATACAGATTAAATTATTGAAAACCCGTTTATACTAGTTTAATATTTTATATATTTTGTATATCTCCAGAAACCGTTAGTTGCCACTTATTACGGTCTACGATCTACGTCGCCCTAAATACTTAGGACTTTTATCAACATTTTTAGACACAGAATAAATGATTATAATCATAATCGATTATACATTTACACAAATAAGATATCGATTAAAATACTGTATTGTATTTGTAATATATATATTTGTAATAAGCGGCAATGATAGTAAGAATCGTAGCAATTGGCTTTCGATTGCTACTATACAACAGGCGTGAAGTTATGTATGTATGTAAGTTTACCTATAACCAATAAACATTGAAAAATATTGCTAAATATGGTGATGGGGTCTATAAGGTAACAACAACACGAGGACTTTAAATATGTAACTAATGAGTATGTTTGCGCAATATCTGTTCACAAACGCTTCATAGGCCTTCGTTTTTACACTTCTATCATCTGAATTCTCTCTGCATGTTCAAATATAAACTATATAAACTATAGAAATTAGTCAAAGTTTAGAACATAGCATCATAGATACCTGTAGGCCTCGGTATCAAAATCGATAGTGGTGTACAATTTCTTCTCATTCTCAGTCAAAGGCGCCACTGAATCGTAGATACCGGTGATGTGAATTTTGCCATCCTTGTCCACAAGTTCGTTCATCAAATAAATTAGATCAGTCATAGCTGTAATTTGAACAATCATTCTCAATTGACGGCGTCGGCATCACTATTTTATGTCAGTACATTATTGTTAGATCATTTCAGCAATTGGTCAAAGAAAACAGCCTCCAAAACCGCTCAATAGAGCGCTAAAATCTTATCAAATAAATCAGTAGCTGCTTCTGTTTAGCATAAAGGCTAACAAAGATAACGCATGTTCCCTAGTAACTAGCTGTCGTAATGATATGACGACACGACAGGTATGCAATTATCAGCATTATTAGATTAACATATTTACTTATTGTGAAACAATAATTATATTTATCGCTGATAATATGTAACAGTATAATGTACCTGGTAGGTAGAAACAGTATAGACAAAATATGAAGTCACTGTCTCATAATTATTATTACACAAGGGAACCTGTTATATAAATGATTGTTCTGTCCCTGAACAAATGAAGCATTCACTAGATCATAACATTTAGTCTGATCATAACAGTTACAAGTAGGATCACTATTTTCTATTAAACACTGCATTATCAAACATAATGGGGACCATTGTTCAGGTAAAGCAAGGTGATAACATATTTTTATAGTTATGGTCCTCTGAAACAATGGAATCCATTTTCCATCTTGTATTTTATAACTTGATTCATGCATTAATGTCCAAATCAACTAGTTAAGAGTTTCAGTTTCTATGTCATAAGAATATAGCATTAATCAAACACAAAAGATAAATGTTTCTTAAATCAATAAAATTGATTATGTCATATTCTTACCTTCATGTACAGTACCACCATAGACTCCGCTGTGCAAGTCCATTTTAGCACACTCAATTTCTAGGAAATAGTAACTGACACCACGCAGACCATACGTGATGCAGGGCTTAGTGGTGCCAAGCCAGTAGTTGTCTGATATGCACACATAGTCTACATCCTTGAAGAAACCCTCTGGTTTTAATTTTTCCATAAGTAGAGCATCAAGGCCCTCTGAACCAGACTCTTCCATGCATTCAAAAACAAACTTTAGATTCACTGGTAGCTGCAAATAATGATAATATTGTTTTATTTTATTATAAAAACCTTAGCTTTGTACAAGGGTTTTCTTCTGTATTGTGAGAAGAATTTTTCGAAACTAGAATCAAAGCAAACCCACAATAATCACACAGTAGCAGTTAATATAATACTATATCCAGAACTGGGATATAATGTATATGTGTTTTTTTAATTAAATGTCACATAACAAGTTACTACTAATACATACATATATTATCTATTTCATCAATGTAGTAATGGTAGGTATCAATATGGTACCACTACAGGACTTTTCTTACCTCTTCACCAACACCTTTGTATGCATTGATGGCATGAACCCAGCCAAGTACTGGTCCCTTATCATCAGTGGAACCACGTCCAAACAACTTGCCATCTCGCTCCACCAGCTCAAAAGGCTCAGTCTCCCAACCGTCAGATTTCAATGCTGGCTGGACGTCCAAGTGGCCATATATGCAAATTGTATTTTTCTTGGAATCCTAAAATTTAAAATTATATTTAGAAAACTTGTTTCAAAGGAATTTATCTATTAGAGGTCAATGAACTACTTATGTTTATAAATTTTAATTAAAAAAAAATTTGAATATCTGTAGCTGTAAAAAATATTTTAAAACAGGTTCAGGTCAATATATTTATAATAATGACACAGCATTTCTTTAAATAAAAATTGTCACAAAATGTGTAAATCATACATACACTACAGCAGGGCTGTCCAAACTATAGACTCTCGGGGGCTAATTAAATTTCTAACAAAAGCTGGAGGGCCGCTTTAACACTGTATTCTTTACTCACAGACTAAACTTGTATACAAATCGTACACTGACTTTTATTATTGTTGTTGCATTTAAGATGAAGATGTTGAGATGAGAGAATGCGAGTCTCGGGCCACGCCCGCGAGCCTTAGTTTAGACAGCCCTGCACTACAGCATTGATTGTATTTAGACCTATTATTTTATTCATTTTGTTAGTCCTTAACAGTACTTGAAATAAGTGCCAGAACTTGAAATAAGATAGGTGCTTAATATGAAAAGTTGTAAAAAATATAGTAGAGATCAATGAACTTTCTAGTATGTATTGAATAACAGCAGATAATAAAATTGAATATAACAAAACAATGTTCTAATTCTAAGTAAATATTTTTCCAGCCTGATAAACATTCTGATTTATCTTATTAACTCGTCGAGTACCGTCATTATAGACACAATTATAGAACAATAGGTTGCGGTCACCGGTGACCGCTTAGTGTTTGACAGTTTAATGCTGTATAGAACTGAAACATGTTAAAATTGCTTGGATCATTTGTAATACTAGTTATTTAACACTATGATTGCAACAAAAAAGTATGTCAAATATTTTCTCACTAAAAATGTAAATAATATTGTAAGAATAATTAATTATGAAAAAGATAGTAAGTTAATGACTCAGGTCTAAACTAACCTCAGAAATAGTTACTGATACTACTATTACTACTACTACTATAAAATAAGAGTATAAGAAGGTAGCATAAAATGGGGATACTAAATGATTAAACCAGTAGGTACTTACATTTCCTAATACGCCTACCAAAACGGGCGGCAGTTTAACTTGTTCCCCAGCAATGGTCTGATAGCCAACATCTCTAAGCTCAGTGGTGGCGCCAACCTCTTTCAATTTCTCTTGCATCCACTCCACCATACGGACGCAGTCCTTACGGTACTTAACATCAGAAGATACCGATGGAATTGCAACCGCTTCCTTTAAAAGTTGCTTATAAGAATCCGTATTATCATCAACGTACTTAAATATTTGAGGTAATATTCTATCAGCCATCTTTAGGTTTTCCTTGGGTGTAACTGAAGAAATTCGACAAACAGGACGATTAATATAATTCTTTGTGAGACACGACACTCTTGCTGCCGCGAACTTTATATCATTACAAATGCATTTCACTGTTCTAATCAAACACGAAGTCATGGTGGTGTTAGTAAAATGACAGCTGTCACTTTGACATTATTGACATGGTATTGAATTTGACAAGTCAAGATGTAGTGAAACGAAACGTTGAAAGAAAGTATGATTTTTATTTTTTTAAAAAAGGATTATTTTATTTTACCATAAGTTCTAAGCATGTTCTAAGTATAAGGGAAGTTTGTCTAGCCATCGTGCCACCTTCTGGTCCCACCGCATCTATTATAGTATTATAGTTGAATGGGCTTCGGTCAGTATTAAATATTAATATTACTTAAACAGCTTATTTTTTAAATAAACAAATATTTAATACAGCCTCGTTCGCCGAGTGGTCGCAAGTGCGACATAACTTCGAGTGGTCGCAAGTGCGACATAACTTCGAGTGGTCGCAAGTGCGACATAACTAGTCGCGGAGAACCTAACGGGTAACCGGGGCTCCGGCTCGACGTGCAGGAGAAGGAACGGGGTGGTTTTTAGTCAGTAAGAGTCTGACACTCCCTCCCGCCTCACCCAGGCGGGGGCAGTCATTCGATGATTTTCCCCCCTTAAAAAAAAAAAAAAAAAGTGCGACATAACTGCCAGGCAAGGGGTCTCGGGTTCGATTCCCGTGTCGGGCAAAGTATTACTGGGTTTTAAAAAATCTTAGTGGTAGAATCAAGAATCAAATCAAGAATCTCGTAGGTACATAGGTCGTACAGCGGCAAGCGCCAGTGCCGAAATGGGATCGGGCAAGTTATCGCTGTGTTCAGTGTTGAGTGGTGCTGCTCGACATAGTCGATATTCAGATAAAACTTAATTTTTACCTTGATAAACTTTACAATCTACTCGCAGCTATACCCTAGCAGCCTGCATAAATCCACAAAGGACATGAAAGAACGATGTATAATTACATGTTCCGTGATTCAACCAGGACATGGTGATCTAGGTAGGTATCTAAAATCACTGACCTCGTCTGGATCTAGACAATGCGGCTTATCTTCGTACTGCATTTTGCAAAACCTGTTAGATACAGAATAACTAAGTAGGTTACACACAATATAATACTTTTTACATGGTTTATGGATATGATGTTTCATTCCAATCAAAAGATTGTCAATTTATCAGTCACTTGGTCAATCAAGTTTACCGAAATGTGACCAACAAAATTATAAACTTATTAGAAGTATGTGTAGAGCATATGTTCGTAATCATCTTATGAAGTATAGATATACATATAAATACGATCCATCATAATAATTGTTACAGGTAGGTATTCCAGTTGTTTTTATCCCGAAATCTTAGTATAGGACTAGAGAGGATATTACGAGAATATTATTATCTACCTACAGATCTACAGAACTACAGATTCCTTTTTCCAGATTACAGTGACAATATTTACGAACATGTGCTTCAAAAACAAAAACAATAAGACAAGAAAACATGGAATCAAAACAAGATAACGACTACATTACCTGCCCCAAACGAAAAAAGGAAACATTTTCAGATTTAAAAATACATTCAGACAAGGGAGATTATTTTGCCCCTGCAACTGAAATCTACGGAACAGTCGGTAAACCGAGACCTATATGTGAGAATAAAAGCAACACAGTTATTCGTGATTTTCATAAAAAGACTAAGATAGAAAAAGTGCCGGAAAACACTAACGCCTACCAAATCCATAACAAAATCTGCCATATACTGCTTAAACCAATGGATATATACTTTTATGACACCAAAAACAAGTGTTACTATAGCAGCTTTAACCCCATTCTTGCGGCAAATAGCTGCTATACGTATTCTGGTGCGGATGTTAATCGTTTACTGATCTTTATAGAATACACAAATAAAACTATAGAACGCTTATTCAGAGAATTAAGTAAAATTAAAAGTACTCCTGATTTAAGTGCAGTTATTTTAGTCATCAATCGCAAAAAAGTAAAAGAACTATTCAAAATTAACAAAGGAAAGATGAAAATAAATCTTAAAAGTGGTTACTTTAATTACAAGACTAGAGACACGTCCTTATATTTTAGTAATGTAACAAACAATCATTTTGATATCAAAATAAAAAATCATTGTGTTGGATTAAAAATATCAATTCGCAAATTTACAGGAACTCTATTGGAAACTCTAACGGCCGTGTGTAACATGGCTCGTTGCTTCTTCCCTACTGTTGAAATAAAAGTACCATCCGTTGTTGGACGCAACTGGTATTTTTGGGATGTCATTCAAGGAATTTTACTGAAAATACTCTTAAAAAATGCTAACGTAAACAGTTTAAACATTGCGAGCCAGTTATATTTTGTGTTGATCACAGACGCTATCCCATATTTGAGCATAGAAATTAACTTAATATTGAAAAAAGGAGTATACATAACATATGCAACATACTCGTCAAAACATTTTATATCAAATGTGGCGGAATGGAATTACTTACACAAATATATTTTAAGAAAATCTATATCATGCGGCAATTGGCATATTATGAACAAATTATATGAAAAGCCACGTGAGTCATTAAAAGCAATAACATATCACACAAAATCTACAGCAAGTGACTACCAAGTAGATACTTCATTGCATTACAAAGAATCAACTGAAAGTTTCGACAGAAAAACTTACATTCGGTACAGCAATACAGACATAATATTATACAGCCTAAGTCATTCAGATATTGCAGATTTTTTTTCTATAAACCAAAGTGTTGGAACTTCATTCACTTTTCCTACAAACGGAATTATATTCAATGAATATCGACCAACCGAAACGAAAAGTGCGAGTACAATCTGCGACATTGAAGTAAATATCTCTTTGTTGAGCTGCAGTAAATTATTTTTGAGAACATTGTTCAACGACTTGAAAATAATGAATTACTGTCTCAATGTGCATAGTCAGCATGACTTCATACATAAAACTTTGTTTGAAGCTGTGCCTGCAGCAACATACACAAAATTTGTTCATGAATATTGGAAGCAGTTTAAAAATCAAAAACTATATACGAATCTTCTTAAATGTCTTACGCAAAACTTAATATATACGTTTTTAAGTTCTAAAATATAAATAAAAAGATAATGTTTAAAAAACATTTTTATTTTCATTTAGTCATAAAAAGCTTGGATTGGCATGTCATCAAATAAATATCAAATATATAACATAATTATATCCTAATAACACTTGGATTCAGAGTTCAACAGTGAATTGTTTAATACTTAGTGATATTATTAATTAGTTTAATATTTAATATGTATACGATGTGTGAATTCACATGAGGTATGAAACATTAGAAAACTGTTATTCTGTATTCGTATTCGCTATAGTTAACAGAACACATACCTATTTTAATATCAAATATTGTAGCGAGGAGTGTGGAGCGTAATATAGAATCACCTTTGTACGACACTACTGGATGCAGAAAGCATGGCTCATAGAAATTTATATTCTAAGAAACCACGTTTCGACGAAAACTTCTTTGGTAGAAAATATAGTTCATAGATAACTCCTTCCATAGAAAGCACTAGCCATAGAAATCTCTATTCCTAGACAGCCGGTTTTGCCGAAACCTTTGTTGGTAGAAAATACTATTCGTAGATATCTCGTCCCATAGAAAGCACTGGCGATTCTATGAGCCATGGTTTCTGCATCCAGTAGTGTCGTACAAACGTGATTCTATATTACGCTCCACACTCGTAGCGAGGGCATCGACGTTTATCAGTTCAATAGTGGTAGTGCTTACTGACACAACGTTGGCGTGGAATGTTTTCTAACATCTACCTTCAAAGCTCTATTCCTCCCTTACAGAATACCCTCATATGGACAGTCTTCTTCCCTAGTACTTCTCTAGCTTCGTCTCAACAGTTGACAGTCCTTAGTATACTGCAAAGAAATTAAATTATATTTTAGTCCAAAAGGTTACAACCGTAATTACCGATTAGTACAAAGATCGATATATCGTAGGTTCGACTGGGATCCAAGTGTCAGAGTCGAATTGTGTTCAAAGTTTGTTCTGTCTCTAGTTTCTTTTAAAATATTACATGAGTGTGGAGTGCGGTATTAAGAGATGAGTTACCCAGAAGCGGCATCATCGTTGACAATGGAGTGCTGAGGCGCATTGGAGAATATGATGGCGGCGTGTCGCTGCAGCCAGTAGGTGAGCAGCGCGGCGAGGAGCGTGGCCCCGGCGCCGGCCGCCGCCGCCGCGCCCGCGCCCGCGCCGCTCGCGCGCACGAACACGCGCGCCCACATCGCCTGCCACACCGACTCCGTCCACGTCGAATACACCCCCGACTTCAAGTCGTAGTCTGGAAAGTCCCATCGCAGTACTACTCAAGCTTTCGCTACCATTTTCAGTATGAACTAATTCATTTGTAAGCCACGCTACACAAAAATTACTTCATACTTCAAATTTTCCTCAAAATTTCCTACTCCTCGACTAACCTTCGATGATGAACGCAGGGCTGATGGCAGCACTGATGTTCATAGTAGTCTGCATACAGACTCCACTGTGGTTCCACCCTCTTAGCCAATATTGCGAAAATCCCTGAAATATTTAACATCGTAAGGATTTGTCCTTGTTTTGTCCTTTGATCCTATTTGTGTATTGAACCTCCTTTCATTGTCATTGTGCTACATTCGAATATGGAGGATGGATATTTAAAATATCCATTAATTCGATTGAGTAAAAAGCAGCTGGTGTTGCGCTTACCGGTACGTCGAGTGCATCGCACTGCGTGCGATTGGCAGACAGCGCGGTGCCGGTGAGCAAGGCCAGCAGGTGCGCCGCGAACACGGGCGGCGTGGAAGCCCACGTGGCCACGCCCACGTACAGCGGCGCCGCACGCTCCGGCGGCTTCTCCTCTGCGCCGCCGCTCGACGCGTAGTCCGCCGCCATTATCAGCCTACACGCCTGACTCCGCAAGAAGCAGTACAGTATCTCGTCCACCTACACTTGCAACAATTATAGTTATTATCTGAACCTTAACTATCAAACGAGAAAGGGCTTTCCTCTTAAAAACGACAATAGCGGACAGTCTAAATAAAATGACAATGACCAAATTTGTATGGAGCGTGGCGCCTTTTCATTTTTTCGCGGCAGTTGATCGGATGTGGAAAAACTGATGCAGAATAACATTACAAACAAAAAAAAAATATATTGGGTCTTATCAAATAAAATATCAAAATCACAGTCCAAATCGAGTTAAATCAGTTCAAAGATGTGAAAATAGTGCTATATTATTCCTGTGATTTTGTTGATGGTGACCGTACACAATGCATATTTCTTCATTTACTTGTCAGAAATATTTTGTAATAAATGTTTATAAACGATTTCAAGGAATATAATAAGGCTTATTTTTTTTTTGTTCGTTAATTCTTTTTTTTTTTTTTTGTTATAAGGCCACGGTATCAGAACAGAGTGAACCATTAACTGACCACTGCTGAAGAAAAAAAAACATTTCGCTTGATTGGCTAGCGTGTTCAATTTATATGTATACGGTTTATGGCCTATGACAGATTTTCGTGATCAATTTCCTCTCAGTCAAAAACCCGCAAAATGCTTTACTGAGCCCTATCATAAAATACTATGTTTGTCAGCTGCAGCTTCGGTAGCGGATTGAGTAGTGGCAGTCGTCAAAACACGAAAAAATCATTTTTCTGTCTACTTCTCCCGACTTACTTCCGATTAGTAACTAATCTAACTACAGTTAATACTTTAATCTACATCTAGCATAAGATTAAGACAAAGACATCGTCATTCAGTCACAAAGTGAAGGATTTCGACTGATCACATTTTATGAAAAAATTATGCGCTCATCTAACGTCGTATAGTCCATCACTTTACAAAGTGGACGGTTTCCTTTGTTCAAAAGATTATGCTAACTATAAAGTAGATGAGTCTCCCACCAGGAGTCAACAGCAAAAAAAATACTTTATTAGATGTTTGGACGGCTACAACTACTCAACCCACCACTGGTACCACAGCTGACACTCATGAAGCTTCATGACACAACTCCTAGAAGCATCCCACAAGTTATCGACTGAGAGAAAATAGCTTATAAAATTTTGCGGCTGGCAATATTGGTGTGATTTGGTGTTTATGTGCCCGGCGTGCAGTGGCGCGCAAGTTAGGAATTGTGACAAAATATGAATAATTTGAATAAAAAAACGAAAGTAAAATGTTTGACTCCAGCTCCTTTCAACGCTCATAACTCAGTCCAGACTGAGATTTCCATATATGAGCCCATAGACAATTTCGTTTGTAATGACATTTTAGATAATATTTTCCAGAAATCATCGACTGCCGCCAGAAAAAAGAAAGACACCAATTTTGAATTTTGAACTTAAGTACGTATATGAAGTGATCAAACTCTTTTGTATACATTTTACACTTACTAAATGTGCTGAAGCAGTAATGTTACCGCTATACGGTTTTCCTGCAACTCTTTGGTACATTGTCCGAGCGACGGCTGTCGCTAGCCGCGCGATCTTCACTTGTGTATCAACCTCTTTCATCGTTCCATTTGCCAGTAGCGCATCGGTGGATATAACTGGAATATTATATGAATTACACGAGCTAGCACAGGGATCTAAGTGTAAAAATAACCGTTTTTTTTTTCAATTAATGCGGTGGAAATGAGAGCCCTGAGAAGTATGTGTGGAGTAGAATCGAGTGATCGAGTCAAAGTAGTGTTATTAGAGAATTATGTAGTAACAAGTATTGAAAAGGGAATGTTACGCTGGTTTGGACATGTAGAAAGGATGGATGAAAGTAGAGTAACAAAAGAAGTATTTTTTAAGGGGGAAAAATCATCTAATGACTGCCTGGGTCTGGGTGGGTGAGGCGGGAGGAAGTGTCAGACCCTTACTGACTATAAACCACCCCGTTCGTTCTTCTGCATGTCGAGGCCGAGCCTCGGTAACCCGTTAGGTTTTCCGCGACTCAGAATCGGCATCAGCTCTATTGGGCCATCCGAACGAAAGAAGTATACAGAGCGGACCAGATTAGCGATTGAAAAGATTGGACTGTTGATGAAGCGAAAGAGGTATGCAAGACGGTTTACGCCTATGGGAGATAGGCGTGAACTTATGTATGTATGTGTCATTTGATAAAATAAATATATTAACTAACTATATATAATAAGTATAGCGGCTAGGCGATAATAAGCTACTGGGTAACGTGTCGTTAATCCGACGCCACACAAAGTAACTATTTAGAGGTAGTCTCACAAGTTGTTGTTCTTGGTTGTGTGCTGTATTTGTATATTATGAAAGAATATTTGTACTAATTATACTCACATGTTCCACTACTGTCAACAGTAATATTACGATACTCAAAATCAATCTTATCGAAACCATCCAATGCAGAATTGTAAAAGAAATTGCTGAATTCAGCATTATGGTCAGTAATCAACACCTCGGGTAAGGCTGCACTCTCTGTTTCGTTTTTAAGAATTCTACGGAAGGAATGCAGAGATGATGGCGGGAAATGTGACGAGAACTCGGTATTTATTGATATATTGTGCTGAAGGTTGCTCCCCAATGTATTAACAAATTCATTAATCTGCAAATAGAAAATGTTTCTAATCATCGCAACAATTTCGTTAGCAAGTACTTAAGAATTGTAAAGTGATACTCATGCACACTTGTTGTAACATACCTCAGGTACAACATTAGTATAAGGTATGAACGCGTACAGAGGCCAGGCGAGGTCAAGTTTAGTCAGAGCACCTCCTATCTGGCCTATCTCTACATGTAAGTTGATATCATCCACTGTAAGAGGAGCCGCGGCTGGCCACGTGCCCTTACTGATATCATACGCCACTCGTTGGGACCCGATGTAGTCAAATGCTTCACCATTGAATAGTGTCCATAAAATATTTTCATCTGAAATTAATAGATCATATTTGTTTAATTTCAATAAAATCCTGCCGTGTTCTACAAAACGATTGTCACGAGTGATAATTCGGTGAGATTTTTCCGACATAAATGTCATAAGAGGGAGGGAACTTGCGGAAATTCAATAACTTTCAGAGATACTATTGATTTTAAACTATGGAAACTTATTGACATTTTTTGTAGAAACGAGAATAAAAATCCATTCTTACCATATAAGTTCGCATCCTGAATAGGTATCATTTTAGAAAGTGTTGTGGCTGCTGTCAGTAGGGTCACCATACCAACGACGGAACTAGCTGCACCAGGAGACACGCCTGACAAAAATTATAACTACATTAAAGAATCGCAATTATTTTACATACCATTATAATATTTTTACATTCTAAAGCAGGATGTTGGAGACATTCCCCATTTTCTTTATTATTGAAAGCAGCAATTACATCTTAAGCACTGGCAAATTATACTACATACACATTTAACTGATACACATAGATACATACAACATACACATTAATTATTATACATACCATCAAATAAGGATGCTGTGTCAATCCTTGCAGTCACTAAAGTAACTTTTTTATTCTTTATGTCCTAAAATAACAATAACAACAATAATGAGTAATATAATTATAACAGCCATGATGTAGGAATTTATGATGCATGGCTCAGAGGTAAGCAGATGTTAATTGTTTGTTGAAGAAAATGACAGACAACCATCAATTATTCTTTATGCAAAAAAATTATAAGTCTGTAATAGGTTGCAATTATCAATGAATGAATGTGTAACCAAACTCATAGAATACTTTGAAAAAATATTATGAACACATATAATTACAAAATGGCACTTACTTTTGTCCTAGGAAAGAGAGAATAGTAGACATTGTAATCACCCAAGGGATCACACACCTTTGTAGGTGTTAACAAAGCTGATGACGCTGATCTGTTAATAAAATAACAATAAAATATTAGTCTCAGGACTTTTTATACAAACAGATGATTGATTAGTAATCTATTAAAAAACATAAATAAACAAAAAGTATGTTAAAGAGTACTAACCTTCTCAAGCATACTTCAGTGTTCACCGCTGCAAACATAAATGAATGTAGCTGTACAGAACACAGTGGCCTGCCTTTCTGATTGTTCTTGTCAGAATTATACCTGAAAACATCAAAGTATTTTGTGTTAATTCTTAGTCTACCAGAATGTAACAAGAAACTTCTTTGTGTTTGTAAAGTTGTTCTGTAAAGCTGGTACATTAAATTATACCAATAATCAAATGGTTACTGTGCACCCACCTTTGATAGCATTCATCTATTTTATCTATCTCCTGTGATCTAGACTCAGGCAAGTAAAATATGGGAAATGGTATGTCTCTTCGTAAAAGTCCTGTGCCTTTTGGGTTCCATACAACTCCACCAGCTGAACAGGAACTTCCTTCAGCTGCTGAATAGTCATTAGGACAACTCATATCCTGACTAAATTGGGGAGCACTGTAAATATAGATAATATTATTTATTCACTGCCTGCCTCATTGGCCCAGTGGTCGCAAGTGCGACTGACGGGCAAGGGCTCTCGGGTTCGATTCCCGGGTCAGGCAAAGTATTACTGGGTTTTTATAAATTCTCAGTAGTAGCACGGAGTCTGGAAATGTGCCCAGTATATGGCAATAGGCTCACCCCCTATTATATGGGACTCATAACATAAATAGTGAAAAGTGGGTGTTACTTCTGTGTGCACCTCTGCCTACCCCTTCGGGGATAGAGGGTGTGATGTTATGTTATTATTTATTCAAAAAAATATAATATATCTATACTGTATACTTTTAATACAAACTTACCTTTTCGTAGCATTGTCATATAATAGAATACCAGCAATTAAATCTGGCTGTTTGAAGAGTAGGTCAAAAACATCATAAAATAGACCAGTGCTCACAACAGCCATGTAGGGACCAGCAGTGGCATTTTCCATCAACCAATGGGCATCAGTAACATCTTTTATCATATGTACAACACCAACAGCACCATTGTCAGCCGCTAAAAGTTAAAGATGAACATGTTCTCTGTTATGTGCACCTGGGACTATCAGCCCCTGGTGCAATAGAAACAAACTTAAAATAAAATTAGCCACAAACATCCCGACCTCTCAACTGTCAAGTTGTTAAGGCATATAGACCAGACATTTTTAGGTATGGGATTTACTTCTGAGAACGTATGAAATGTAACTAGTTAAGTACATACATGAACACCCTGTTTGATGTGTTCCATTTAATCGTCTGAAACATGCTGCTCCTCCCTCAATTGACGAGTATATTTTCTCATGTAGCCTTTGCAAGTTTCCAGCTGAAACATTATTAAATTATGTAGAACATTTGAGGACCGACACAAACGCGGCCGCGGCTACGATTATCAAAGTTCTAACTTTTACCATTTCCCAGAAATCGGTCATTATTATCATAATTTTAAAGTGGAAACCTCTATAATTCGGGTTATTTTTAATATGTAGAAGATTATTGCATATACGCACAAAAATACAATTAAAGATACTTACATCTACAAAAACTAAAAATCAATAACAAAATGAGAAAGTTAAACGATGCCATAGTTATTTCATTACTGCAATTAGATGGTAATTTGTTTAATAATCACGTCTTTTTGTGGTCTTGCATTTACTTTTCTATATCTACAAGTTAATGTTAAAATATTTATTTAAATTACAATCAGAAAAAGAAGAAATAAGAATGACAAACACTTCACTTTTCATGAAAACATGACACACCACCAATGACGGTAGATATTGACATTGACAGAATCCAATGTAAAATAGTCTAAAAGACCATAGAGGGTAACGCACAGAGATGCTGCTGACGCTAGAGATAAAGTAATTTTTCGGATAAACACTCAAAATGAATACCTAAATACCTTTGGATATTTACTCGATACATCTATATCTGACGCTGTGATAGCTCTACTATAAATTCATTAGTGAACCGATCCAACGATGTTGAACTTTGGCCACCTGAAGATTTTAATAGTGCTTCCAAAAACTAACAATTAAAAACTTCACTTTTTTCTATTTTCGCCATTATTTGCCCTTTAATAAGTGTACCTCTATAAGAGTAGGCAGAGGTGTAATATAAAACCTTTAGTCCAAATATGTTATGAGAAAAGTATGAAAACGTATTGCCACATAGTTATGTACTAAGAAATTAAGGGAAATCCGACCAACATACTGCTGTGATCTGTAATACTTTGTCTAACTCGAACCCGAGAATATGCTTGGCAGTGGTAGTCGCATAATTATGCTAATGGTGTGGTGTGGGCCGTGAGTTGTGTGTGTTCCTTCCAGTGCTAAAATCACGCCACAAATTCAAAATTAGTCAGCGGTGTAATCCTAGATTATACACTATAAGGGTGTAATAGTGGGTGCAATACAAAAAGAAACCGTTGGAAACGTTAGATAGTGAATAGGAAGGACTACATGACATGATGACATGATGAATAAAAATGTAATGTTGCTATATCAACAAACTAAAGTTTACTGGGTTAGCTGTGGATTTTTGTAATGACAACATTTCATTATTTTATTTTATTGGATGGACGCCATTTCTGATACGACAGCTGTGTTTGCGGGACTAAAATAGTTCCATTATTTTCACTGTTCATTTGGATAGTTTTTGTTTTAACGTAGCATTTATTTTCTCCCTAGTTGAGAAAATATTTTGGCTATGTCGGAACAGGTGGAAATTAAGGTACGTATTCTTTAATTTGGATGACTGAACCGAACATAAGCTTCCATTGTTCAACCTTGTCCGTTGGTCGATATTTTTTTACAAAACATTTCATTTTATTAGTTATTCGTAATTTATTAAAATACTCTCTTGTTGTACGAAAATGTTTTGATAAATTTATATTATTTCTGTCCATTTCCTCATTAAAACATTAAATAACACACTTCACGGTTGGTATTGAAAAATGTTCCACCATTTTAGGTTTCGCAATTTACGTGAGATTTATATTTTTTATTTGTGCAACGTATCCTAAGAATGTAATTTAAAATACCTACCCTAATTTTGCATTTATTTGTATTTAGTTATCATTTTAGAGATCACATTTACACATGTAAATTTATGTACTTACGTACGAACTTTTCAAAAGTATCATCAAACAGGGTGTTACGTTAAACGAGAGATGGTTTTCAAAGCCACGATAGTTGAGAACTCTACAAAGTAACTATTTATGTACTTATATATGTAACTAACAATAGCAAACTTTTATAAATATTTCGAACTTATACAAGGTTAGAAATGGGATCAGAAAATGTTGTTTTGTATTTACTAATTTACAAATACCCAAATGATATTTTAGAAAGTTTTTAAATTCTACTCTCCTGTACGATTTTTAACTTTTCCCGTTGACTACTTTGTAAACCATTGAACTGATGATTCTCAATTTTATTATAAGGTTAAGAATACAATAAAACAGATTTTTCGACATTTTATTGCTTCTTTCATTGCTTGCGTTACTAATTAATTATACCTACTTAAAAATATTCGTGTACCTACCCTACTTGCCCTAAATGAAACTTTCTTCTCTACGATTTTCCTATTTATCTAGATGCACTTAAATTAATTGAAGTACCTATTTCAATTAAAGTAGGTAGTTAAGTAATTTTAGTACCAATAGTGATAAAAAGTTAAAATAAATGACCTTGCACAGTTTTCGAGTAGGTACGAAGGTTTAGCTCCCATGATAGGCACGGGCACGATAATATTATTGTGTGATATGTTGTCGCTTTTGCGTAAAATTAACTGAATTGCCTAACATATGGATACAACAATGGCACATTTCTAAGGGTCTTCTCACACCAAGACACCATGCAACGCAAGCACGTGGCGAACGTAAACACGGTCCCGCTTGATGCGTCACGCGTATAGCGATTTTACGATGCGCCTCGCGACGTCGCAACACGTCTCACGGGTGGTGGCGGCATGCGGAGTCGGAGCGCAAAATCACTGGCTTCTTCCAGTATCGTCTCGTCTCGATGTGAACTGACCTAGAAACAAATGCCATTCATTGCAATATTTTATTTTTATAAAATGTTACTTCTTAGGAAGATTCTTGTATCATGGGCGCGTACACAAGCATACATTCACACTCAAAATTAAAAACATAGATCCCAATCACACAAATATTGTTCCTTGCGGTAATTGCACGCGTGCGTGGTATGGTAGGTACGATGCACAACAGCTTGTCGCCCATATTACTACGCCAACCTTGTACCTAGTCAAATTGATTTCATGTATTATTTTATCTTCTTTATTTCAGCCTGATGCTTTGCCAGATTTAGATGATTTATTGCAATGTCCCGTGTGTTATGAGATTCCGTCGGGACAAATTTTTCAATGTAATGAAGGACACCATGTATGTGGACGATGCAAAATGCGCCTGGATGTGTGCCCGGTATGCAGGGCCTTGTTTTTTGGTACACGTAATTATGCTATGGAAGAACTGATTGCCAATGTTAGAAAACTGAGGGCATTTGTAAGTATTACCAAAATATATTTATGCACGTAATTATTAAATTTATTCATCTCTAAGACTAGAGGTGTCCAAAACGACAAACAAGGTTCGCGGTAGCTACGACGCGCGGTGTTCAAGGGACACAAATTTGCCGCGCGACTTTGCGACCTTCCAGCATGTCTGAGATACCGCGCTCTTCACAAGACAACACATTTCTACCGCGCTCTAGTTAAGACAAAACAGACTAATATTTGCGCGCTACAATCCAGCAGAAACTCTAAATTAGTAGAGCAAGAAAATACCGCAACAATTACAATACGTTCTTAATAAATGATAATATAAATATGTGACATTGTTGCGTCTCGACTGAACTCTAAAAGATCCGTCCCAATTATTATTGCACACGCACAATACACTGACGCTTCTATGCCGACACGAACTAGCTCGCCGCGCAGCACGTTCGAGCGCGCCAATGTTCGAGCTGCCGCGCGCGGGTAGAACCGTCCCCATATGGTGCGACCGCCGCGCGAGCCAATGTTCGATGGTTTGCCGCGCGCAGTCGATACGCTGCTTTACAGTACTATAATATAACGTGGTTTGCACGTCTCGTCAACGTAACGTGGCAAGCTACCGCACCGTTTCAAGTTGACGACTCGCCATTACGTGAAGATGTGGACAGGCCGATACGGCGGGCACTAAAGTTGGTATCGGAATAATTAAAACAATGGTGTGTGTCATAGTTTTGTTAAAAAATAGCATCCCATAACTCTTTAAAGGGAATAGTTATATAATACATAACTGTTTAGGCTGTCTATGTCTCTACTCAGAAATACATATTTCCAAACACAAATGCGTTCACGCGTGCCTATCGTCTTATTACAGTGCGGCGAGCCGTGCTCTCGATTGCCTCTTGATGTGTGGACACACCTTTATAATTCTGCATTTTTCTCACTTGATAAAATACAGCAATCTACATAACTACTAGCTAACCAACACTAACAGAATAAAAATCTGCAGCTCGCGGCTTTCAACCAATCATACCGTGGCAGGCGAGCATTCTACCACAAGTAAGCTGCTGTAAGGTTGAATTGTGATGCAGGCGTGACATTGATATATATATGTGTATTGTGTGTGTTTAATAATGTTAAAATGTAGTAAATATAATATAACGTAATGTAATTTTATCAATAAGACTGACAAAATCCATTGGCACTACTGGAATCGGCTTACTGCTGCGTGAGCAGACGTCATGCATTCTTAAATGTTCTACAGTCGGTGGCGCTGTGGGCTGGGTCGCTCCGTTCCCTACGAAATGGTTGATCGGACCGATTGCTGGCCCTCACGTCATGCTCGTGAACGGGCGCCTTTTGCTGGAGCAGGTCGGCTCGCTCATCGGGCGTGTGGGCCGATCCAGTAAGGTTAATGTAAATGTAAAAACATGTATTGTGTAAATATAGATATTAGACACAAACTTCGTTGCGAAAAAAAAAAAAAAACAAAAAAAAGTGGTTAATGTAGTACGTAACATTTTTGTAACAATTAATTTTGACTGTAAATTAAAAGAAAATGTAATGGAATGACAAGGGCACGGACAAGAGTCCGTGGAGAATAAGAAATGTAATATATAAAAAAAAAAAAAAAAAAAACAATCATAGCGTTCCTAGAATACCACGCTCGAATGCCGTGTTATATTTGGACACACCCTAAAGTGGAAGACGATAGAGGTCATCCCACATTTAAAAAACACCGCGACCGCTCGCTTCCAACTAGCAGGCGGCGTGCGATCGGCGTGCCGTACAATACCTACCTCTAGATGCGATGTTGTTTCGCTGGCGCTTGGTGGGCGGTTCGCCGTCTACTCGCCGACGTTGCGCTGTCGGCGCACCTTACACCTCGAGTGGACCGTGCGCTGACCACCCGCCGTCGGCTTTTTGTATTGGTGTTAGGAAATGTATCAAATGGCACACGATTTTAAGTTCATATTTAAATGGCAACTTAATGGCTGGGTTAGAGCTGTGCTTTTTAAATGTGGGTTGACCTTAATAGAACAAAACTTTTGTTTGACCATTTCTTAATATTATTTAATTTCATTTTAGAAACTTGGTGGTAAAGTCACTACAGATACCGGCTCTGGAAATAAATCATCTAAACTAAACGCAAATGAAGTACCTGAAACTGAAAGCGTAGTTGATGATGCAAGCGAGCCATCTAGTGTAAGTAAAAATCTCTTTTTGCTGATACATTTTATACTTTACTAGCTACTTCCCCGCGATTGCACCAGTTCAAATCGAACCAGTATTGCCAGAGGTTAGCTTATGCAAACAAACAAACTCTTGAATTGTTGAAAGGATGGAGAGTAACTTAGGCTACTATTTATATCTTTGTAATCCCCCTGTACAGGAGTATAAGATAATGATTTAATGTTTCTTAATTGTAGCATTCTGCGTTGAGACCACCACAAGCTTGTAAAGGTCTTTTCCGTTGTCTCTCGTGCAAGAGTTCAAAAGGAATAAGATTCCCTGCAGCTCGCTTGCTCAATCATCTGCGTTATTACCACTCTCCTGAACTTATTGAGGTAAGTGTAACCAGTTAGTGCACTCCTTTTGAATAATGACACAATCTTACCACGATTTATTAATTTTTAGGGCAAATCTGAAAATGGTGAATATGTGCAAGCCTGGCAATTTTCTACAGTCCCTGGAAGAATTGTTACTGCAGTTCGAGTAGCAGACATGGGAATTTTCTTTTTGATAATTGATATTGGCAGTAAGCTACAATTTGATCATTCATTATATCAAATAATAATTTAATTAATTGTTGAAATTGACTATTGAATAATAACACTAGATAAGCATATTGTATAATGTGCACATTATAATCCTAATAACTGTGCTTGAGTGCAATCATTTGAGAAACATTTACAGTGTAGTAATAGAATAAGTGTTTCATCACATCCTACAATATTAATTTACACAAGCAATCATTTAATCAAATTAATTGTAATTAATAATTATCATTGTTTCAGCTGATACATTTAGTGCGTGGCTGTCCATGGCTGCATCTCCTTGGGTTGCCCATGAATTTTCCTATACTATAACTATTTCTGGAAATGACAGAGAGGCAATTTTCTCTGATTGTGTAAGTAAAAAAATAACTGTTGTTAAAAAAATCACCGTGACTGGGCACCCGGCTGTTACGCAACTTGTAGCGGGTTCGATTCCCGCACGCAGCAACTCTTTGTAATCCAAAAACTGTTGTTTCGGGTCTACACTTTTATTGTAGGGACTTGTATGTTTGTAAACACACCCACGACAGGAGGAAATCCCAAAGTGGGACAACATTTTTAAAACAAAAATTATGCATCAGTACTATCAGTAATGGCAGTAATTATTTTTAGGTATGGTCGGTCAGATCGTGTGAAGGCTCTCTGAAGAAACGTGGACATTGCCTCACAGTAAATGGGCTCGACGCTAGAGCATTGGTAGCACCTCCTTCGATTTGTGGTAAACTGTCTGTGCGTCGTACGCCACCTGATCAACTAACTACCCAAACTCAACCACGCGCTGTTCTGCGAGTAGCCAACAGAGTTAACAATCGTGAAAATACACACACACATGCTCATGATCTGGAGCCTTTCTTACAAGACTTACAAAATGACGTAGCTAGGCTCTCCCGAGCATTTGCAACGCTCGGACGTGAAGCTAACGCTCTGGTACGTTCTGAAGCAGAAATGCGAGCTAGAATCGAAAATAGACACTCTGGTACAAACGAACGCGCTAGCTCATCTGAGAGGGAAAATCCTGTAGAAAATAATCAGGCCGACATCAGTACCGAACGTGCTCCACTCTCACGTAACGCGCGTAGGCGTATGCGGCAGCGATTGAGAGCCGCTCTAAACGCCCCGCAGCCTCCGGTGTCCGCACCTCGAGCTGTCAATGGTAGCCTATCGCCAGCCGACTGGCAGAATGGTCCTACCAATAATGCTAATGTCCAACGTCACGTCTTGTCTGGGTTGGGTGCATTGCAACAGCCACCAGTGCCGCCACCAGTAGCACCGACGACCGGGGCACCGCCTCCGCCTGTAGCCCCGCAGTCGTCTAGTGGAACACCCACTCAATCTCAAAACGGAAACGTGCGCGCCAACAAAAAAAAGCGACGTCATCGTAGATAAATTAACTTTACGTTTATTTAGTTAGGTGTCTATTAATGAAATTGTAAACGCAATAAGTTTACTGTATTAATGGTGTATTTTATCAATTTGACTGCTCTTTGAGTCTCATAACTTTGCTCTGGGGGCTACATACATTGTAGTATATGACTTCATTTAGATATTTCGTCTTTTGACAATTGCAATTTTTGCGAGTGCTGTGATAGTATATTGCAAGTCCATGCAATATAAATGGTTAACTACTTACTTACTTAACATTTTCATTGGTATCCCCAGAGTGTTTTGTGATTTATAGATACCCATTAGGATAAATTGTTTTTAAGTTAATTTCTGTTACGAAATGCATTTTGTGAAATATTTGACCATGATATTTTAGGAATATCAATTTGAAGTGTTTTAATAATAATAATTGACCATGTGCTTGTTTTAATCCTGTATGTAATCATGAACTTATTGTAGGACTATTATTACTATTTAATTAATTACGATAACTATTAATCATTTAGACAAAATAGTTATAATTATAATACATAAAAAACTTACTTGTTTTTTTGTTCGTTTGAGGATAACCACATCCATACTTTACACAGAAATAACTCTGGATCACTTGAAATGATAATGGGTACTCGACAATAAAGCACGTTTATTATTCGTTGTTTTCAATATCTTTCATAAAAACAAAAGTCCATCTACACCCATCTCGCGGATTTTTATGCCTTTCTATAATTTTGTACTACTGATTACGTAAAAATCACCTAGACTATTGTAAGTACCAAAAAGTAGGCTCTGATAGTACCAATAGTGGTAGCTAAAGTAGGTAGGTATTCTTTAATTTATTTTCGCGGTACAAGACGTGCTCTGCTATGCTGTATATATTGCAATAAAATTGACATTTTATGATATCTACGTTACACTCTGTGCTCTTTTATTTACAGGCTTTTAACTACTTAATTACTTTCTTTTTGATAAACTGTAAGAAGTTACAATTTCGTAACGTGGTATTTCCACATTATGAATTTTACACTGTATATGTCAGGGAATATAAAAACAAAAGTTATGCATAAAAATTGGTTATGGGTTACAACAATTACTACATTTGCTTTACCTATCACATTTATTATTTTATGAAATTTAATTAAATATAATTCTTAATGAATTTTAAAGTGTTTTTTTCTTGAGTAAATTATAGGTATAGTACTTATAATAATTAATATGTATTAATATCGTGGTTAATAAAATAGTCTTCAATATAATAAAGATTGAAGGTCAATCATGTTTGTTTAATTACCTATGTACAACGAAACCTTTACAATAAATTTCGAGGAACATAAAATATTTCTCTTATAATTAACTATACCATATCTCTATCCGATACCTACACTGTATCCTTATCCGACACCTACACTGTATCCCTATCCGACACCTACACTGTATCCCTATCCGACACCTACACTGTATCCCTATCCGACACCTACACTGTATCCCTATCCGACACCTACACTGTATCCCTATCCGACACCTACACTGTATCCCTATCCGACACCTACACTGTATCCCTATCCGACACCTACACTGTATCCCTATCCGACACCTACACTGTATCCCTATCCGACACCTACACTGTATCCCTATCCGACACCTACACTGTATCCCTATCCGACACCTACACTGTATCCCTATCCGACACCTACACTGTATCCCTATCCGATACCTGCTGTATCCGCGCGGGCCTGCGGACGGCGAGCATGGGTGGCTCCCCGTCCGACCAGAAACACCCGAGCGTGCGGCGCGTCGTGTTCCGCGCGCGCTTCAAAGAGCCATCAGACCACCACAGGTGGGGCCCAACAGGGCCGATGCCGATTCGAAATCACGGAGAACCTAACGGGTAACCGGGGCTCCGGCTCGACGTGCAGGAGAAGGAACGGGGTGGTTTTTAGTCAGTAAAAGTCTGACACTCCCTCCTCACCCAGGCGGGAGCAGTCATTCGATGATTTTCCCTCCTTAAAAAAAAAACCCTACACTGTATCCCTATCCGATACCCACACTGCCACTGTATCCCTATCCGATACCTGCTGTATCCCTATCCGATACCTGCTGTATCCCTATCCGATACCTGCTGTATCCCTATCCGATACCTGCTGTATCCCTATCCGATACCTGCTGTATCCCTATCCGATATCTGCTGTATCCACGCCTGTTTATTGAAGAATTGAAGAATTTTGGGTTGGATAGTCCATTTATTGAGGCATCACGCTATGATCAATTATGATCAGCAAACAATAAACCTTATCTATATAAAAATTAATTTCCGTTCGTTAGTCTCGCTAAACCTCGAGACCGAAGGAAAGGATTTGGTTAACAGTGGTCTTTAAATTTTCGTGGAAGTTTTAGAATGTCAGAAAAACATTTTTAGGTGGCATGAAGTTTGCCCTGTATGCTAGTTCTATATATTTATAATTCGAGAACGACTGAACCGATTTGGATGAAAATTGCTGGGAAGGTTGCTTAGCATCAGGAGAAAGATGGACGATTTTTTATTCAAGATTCTCCCAGAGATCCAACGGAAATGGGATCGCGTGTACGAAATCGCGGACAGAAGTTAGTAGATATCTATTGTCTATGAAATAAAATTGGGGTGTCTGTTTGTAATATTAAAATAACAGTATACGATACACATGCCAAAATAATATTTTTTTCAATGATACACATGCCAATATAATATTTTTTTTCAATGTTTGTCTGTCTGTCTGTTTTCATTGGCAATCTCTGGCATAGTTGCGATGGATTTTGCAAGACTTTTATTGACAGATAGTTAAATAGGCTACTTATATTTTGAAAAAATGAAACAAAAGATGTTATATTTAAAATTTGTATTCTACGCGGACGAAGTCGCCGGCAATAGCCAGTAGTTACATAAAAATCAATAGACCGGAAACTACTAGCGCCAAATGACTGCAGATGAAACAAAATGTTCTGGAATATTCTGATAGTAATGAATGGTGGTGCCATCTAGCGGAAAGTAGTTGAAACTAAATCTAGAACAAAGACAATAGACTTAGTAATATAAGTAATATTCAATAGATGGCGTTAATACAAATTTCCTACAGCTTGCGATTGAACGATTTATTATCAGAAGATTAGGAAAGGCGGTACGTAGAATAATACAGACGTTGCACTCATGGCAACAAAAACAAACATTGTTATTATCAGTTATTTTGTTCTGAACTGTATAATATTGACAGAAATAGTATATGCTGATTTTATCGATACCCGAGAGTCACTAGTTGAAAACCACACCGTGATTTTCCTCTTGCTTAGAGTCGTAAATCCGGTAACTCTTTAGGTTGACTGTCGTTCCAGATCGGAGTCGTGAGGAACCTAACGGGTAACCGGGTCTCCGGCTCGACGTGCAGGAGAAGGAACGGGGTGGTTTTTAGTCAGTAAAAGTCTGACACTCCCTCCTCACCCAGGCGGGAGCAGTCATTGGATGATTTTCCCCCCTTGAAAAAAAGCTCCAAATTGGACATCAGCCTTACTGACTCTATCTATGGTGGTCTAATGGCTCTTTAAAGCGCGCGTGCACGTGACGCGTCGTACGCACAGACCAGGGTGCTTGCTCTTGAAACCAATCTCAATGTCAATGCAATTTCAATAATTATTCAATTGCATTGGCATAGAGTAGTCTAGATCTAGTCAGCCTACCCTTGCTCGCTATCCACAGACATGCACTTACGATAACGGGAGATCATCACAGGATTCTTGATCCCTAGAGTCCAGTAATATAGCAATCTCTAGCATCGGTGTAGAAACACAAAACTTATACATGAAATACGCTAACAAACCTAATTATGCGGCCCAATCCCTAGGCACACCAAACGCTCACAGAGGGTCATGGCGATCCGAATGATCCGTGGATACCGCACGATCTCCGGGGAGGCGGCGAACCTCCTTGCCGGATTACCGCCATGGGATCTGAAGGCGAAATGGTCGCGCGCGTGTATCGCATGCGCGCGGACGCACGTCGCCGGGGCGAAACTCCGCTGCCGCGCCAGATAAGGGCGTGGCGGGAAGAGCTCCGGCGCCGTCTCATGGTGGAATGGCAGCAACGACTGTCGCAACCGAGGGCCGGGCTCGCTGCCATTACAGCGGTAAGTCCTCTCTTTGAGGAGTGGATTGAGAGACGCTACGGCGTTCTCACCTACCGCCTGACGCAGGTCCTTACTGGACATGGAAATTTCGGGAGGTACCTGTATCTGATGGGGCGGGAGGAAACGCCTGGGTGTCATCACTGCGAGGATCGCCCTGAGGACACGGTAGAACATACTGTAGCGGAATGCCCTGCGTGGGCTGAGCACCGCCGTGCCCTCGGGGAAGTGATCGGCGATGGCGACCTCTCGTGTCCGGGCCTAGCGCAGGTCATGATGCGGAGTGAGGGCGACTGGGATGCCGTCTCCTCCTTTTGCGAAGCAGTTATGCTAGCTAAGGAGAAGGCGGTACGCGTGAGGCAGCGTTTCGCTGCCTCCCTGCAACCCAGCCATCACGAAGGACTCACCAGGCGTCGAGGATCGCGGGAGGATCTCCGGCCACCGTAAACGCGGGCCTGCGGACGGCGAGCATGGGTGGCTCCCCGTCTGACCAGAAACAGCCCCGAGCGTACGGCGTGTCGCGTTCTGCGCCTCAAAGAGCCATCAGACCAACAGGGCCGAAGCCGATTTGGAGTTGCGGAGAATCTAACGGGTTACCGGGGCTCCGCCTCGACGTGCAGGAGAAGGAACGGGGTGATTTTTAGTCAGTAAGAGTCTGACACTATAGGCGGGAGCAGTCATTCGATGATTTTCCCCCCTTAAAAAAAGGCACACCAAACGCAAATATAAGTTTGGCAAATGTTAGGTTGCCCACAGTGGACTTCACGCTGTAACTGTAGAGCCGATGGTTGAAATTAGCTAGAGCCGATATTACAATTGTAAAAATATGTGTTTGTGTGTTACTCAGTCATATTAAAACAACTGAAGGGACCCAAATGAAAGTCGGAACAGAGGTAGATTATGGTCTGAAATAATACATAGCCATTCTAACCCTGGGACGCGTCGTGTACTCGGACCTGTTTCTGGGTGAGCAATGAGCTACCCTGGCATGCGAGCTAGAGAACCGTGCGTACGGTGGCCGGGGATAATTGAGGGAACTCTGACGCCCATGCGTATTGTGGCTAGGGTGAGAAGAAAAGAAAAGAGTTAGAGAACCGTGCGTACGGTGGCCGGAGATAATTGAGGGAACTCTGACGCCCATGCGTATTGTGGCTAGGGTGAGAAGAAAAGAAAAAAAAGAGATTTTGGTTGTATAAGCATGTAAAAGTGTCGTCGGACATAGTCGATGGCACTCCTATGATGACGACTCGGGGCTTTCTTTTCTTCGGCTCATCGACAGTTAGGCCTGAACTTATTAGTTGCGTTGATTGTCTTAACTTTTCGATATCGCTTTTCGACACGGTACTGATAATGACGCCGCCGTTTTCAGTTTTGATGAGGCCTCTTACTTGTGATTTCATTTCTTCAGGGCGGATGATCTTTTGGACCAATAGTTTTGTCTCATCACTCGTTTTTGTTTTGTCATTCGGATGAATGACAACAGAACTTATTTTTAAGGGCTGGATGAAATTATTATCACCTTTCTTTACCATATCAGCGAAAGAATTTATTCGGGCAGGTTTAGGAGTTTCAGCAATTCTCTATTGAAAGTCTTAGCTGCAGAGAGACGTCTAATTGATCATCAAGATTACAAGCACTTTGGTGGGCAAGTAAGCGTTTGGCTTTGAGAGATTGGTGTACTAAGTAAGTACTGCCATCTGTGAAGTCCCGTTACCAACTCTCCTGCATAGGACGTTGATTCGTAGCTTTTGTTCCGAGTTCATCTTACCATCACTGACAATATTGCATATGTCAGTAAGGCTCTGGTCGATTGTCGTTGATTATTTCTGGATCTCGGACGTCGCGACGGCTTCAGGAGCATCAGTATTTTGGGTCGGTGGTTGTAAGGTCGATGCAGATGTACCAGGCGGAGAACGCACAACCCTGTTACTCTGGGCAAAAGAGCTGTTTTCTATCATGCAAAGTATTCACTTGTCAATTACAAAACATTGTCAATTTACACCTTCACACGATGACTCATGTTTTGTCCAGTATTAATGCGCAATTGTTAATCTACTTCACGATATTGCAATCGTAATTGTTTTATATTAATTTTCTAATGAGTTAATCAAGACGTCCGATTCATATGAAAGTACAAAATGTGTAATAAACATACACAGCAATAAAATGTACTTATTTAAATATAGACAATTATATTATTACACTTATACTATACATGATTTGCGTAGAAATTACTACCTAATTGTAATCTAAACCAAATAACCAAATTATTCAAAAATCCACGCATCACATGCAAACATTGCGACGCGCGACCGGCGTGAAGTTCGCCACGAGCTAACCAATCACGGTCCGTAATTGGCCGGCTTGCGGCGACCATAAGTTACGGTTCGTCAGGCCGTGCCTGCAGGCAAGCTTTACGATGTAAAATTAACGCGTCTGGGCACTACGCACACAATGACGTTCATCAATACACGCATAAAGTTATGAATGGATTGGAGGCAACGGAACCGCGTGCCTGCCTCGCTGGTTAATGTTTACAGCAATATATGCTACGTCTGGCGAAATTTGCGCTGACCTGGCGACTAAAATTAAAGGTGAAAGTAAAATACCATTTCAAAAATTTTGTTTGGTGCTGCTGACCATTCTAACTGCAGTGCAATGGGGAGTGCCTTTTTTATGGGGAGAAAATCATTGAATGACTTGACACTCCCTCCCGCCTCACCCAGGCTGTTCCTACTCCTGCCCTGCGAGCCAGAGTATTGGCAACCAGTTAAGTCCTCCGCGGCTATGGGGAATGACTAGGAATTTATGTTCGTTGCACCTCTGAATGGACTCTAATGCTAACTAGCTGTTTGTCTCGCTGTTACTTAATTAATCTCATGCCTAGACAAATACTGCTCCAGTTGAGCAAATATCTATTACATTCGGTTAACCACTCAATTATACAATAAAATAATAATGGTGCACCTCTTATTAAAATGGGAACCATTCGCCGATGAGTTGGTTCATCGTATCTGAAACTTTACTTATGAGATATAAATTTTTTTTTTGACAAATATGTCGAACTTCATTCATATTGTTTGTAAGTACATCGTCGAACGTTACTTTACGTTACGTACAAATATTTGACTTGTATTGAAGACTTCGACTTCAGAAATCTGATTAACTTGTTCATCAAATCATAAGTTACTTTGTTCAGTCAACAAAGATAACTAATTATTAGACATAATAAGAGAAAATCTAAAAATCAATCGTTATGTAAATTATCCTCACTGCCATCTATTGTTACATCTAGGAACTAATTGCTAATTCAACATTTTTCGATATGTGGAGAGCTAGTTTTGCTATATTTCTCTAGGTGGCAGAATTCAAAAGTTCAAGTAAGTTTAGCTACCAGACAATAGATAGCGCCCGTTCTCCAAACTGTATCCTGTTTCTGTTTTAAACTCATTTACCGACTCTCAGTTTCAGTGCCTCAGTGGTTGTCTTGTCATAGAAGTTGAGCAAGGTCTTTCGTAGTTTTTCGATAATAGGGTGCTTGTTTTTTTTTTGTTGTATGTTTATTCGGTAAATACCTACTTTCTTTTTTGCTTTACTGACTTGCGGAAAGTTAGTAGGTACCTATTATTGACAGTTAAGCTAACAGTTATTTAGATAGTTAAGCAGAGAAAGCATTGTGTTATTGAAATATTGAACGGTGTTTTAATGTTCCGACATGTGGGATGAAAAGAGATTGTGAGACCTGTTGACAATTCCTTATCCATATGGGAATATTATGGTAAGTTTTATTTGATATAAGTGTAAATCAGTACCTATGCACTAACTTCAGTTCAGATTAATCATTTCGGCGGGAACTTTAATTTATACTTTTGTACATTTCTGTAGCATGTATATTTGAAGTAAATACTAAAATTAAAGTTTACTGTCGCACATATAATATTCTGTAAATAAAAATTTGGTAATGCTAATTTGTAAAATAAAGTTTTTTATTACCTACCATTATTTATATTTATTTGTAAGATTTACATTGTGCCAATTAATTAAACATTCCTTTTGTAAATGCCTATGGTGGTATAATACTCCTAATTGTAGATCTTTAGTAACTACTTACCTACAGAGTGAAAACTTGATGTTAATATACAGATTTCGTTGAAACTGCAGCGTTGTTTGGTCAGCATATTTTAAATAACTATGTGTTAGGTATGTGCTCACTTGACATGTTATAATTTTTTCAGATGGCTGGCATAATGGATGATAAAGTTGATCCAAAGCTCTTTGTCACTTGTCGTCTCTGTCTTCAAGATTTAGGACAGTATCAGATAGTACCCAAAGTCCAGCAACAAATAAAATATTGCTTCAATATAGATGTGAGTACTGTCATTTCCTATCGTATATTATTTTAAACACCAATATATATTATAATATTTTATTATATGACTACCTATTCCGCATGGTTTCACCCACTCTGCTCGGCTCCTTTTCATAAATGGCCTATCTAACACAAAAAGATTTTTTCAAAATCAGACCTGTAGTCGACCTGTATAAAAGTATGAAATATAAGATAAGATTAAGATTTAGGACATTTGTTTCCTACACTAGATGGAAAGGAAATACTTCTTTAATTTATTTCATAACATGTTTTGTTCATAACTTTCATTTCAGGTGGACCCGTTTGATGGACTACCACAACTTATATGTGTGAAATGTAAAGGCATCCTAAACAACTTCTATGAAATAAAGACATTGTTCAGTGAAAAGCAAGCAGACTTGAGAAATAGGGTGACAAGAAAAGAATTAAGTTCGGTGAGTATCTGGTCATTTATGTTTGTATGCGTAGGTATCTACCTATAGTCTGTCATACGTACATCAGGGCACTGCTTTCAACATCACCACTTTGCAGTGGCCAAAGCCCAGGCTTACAATGGTGTAACTTGTAGTAACTCATATGATACTCATATTTTTTCTAGTAACTCATATGAGTTGCACATAATAATTGGGCAAACCTATTGCATTAAACCAAGTACTATTCCAAATTAATCTAATATGGAGAAGTATGCAAAAAACGGAATAATTTTTTTGGGTAGATCCCAAATTTAGTATTTGTAGATGAGGATCGAAGCAAAGGTGCTTAGCCATACTAGTTGCTATCGTGAATCACGCTAACAAGAAAACAATTTTTTTAATGAAAGTATGTCATTTATTCCATGTGACCTTGTATGAATTATTCTTTCCTTCTTGCTCTCTTGAGTTCGGGTCCTTAACACTGGGATCTGATTCTACATCTATAACCCTAACTTAAATTAGAAGATTAATAAGTTATTTGGTTAAAGGTTTATTTTTCTTGTTTCAGGAAACATATCTTCAACACCAACAAGACACTGTCAGTTCTAGCCAACAAGCTTCTGATGACACAAATACAATAAAAAAGAAACACTCTAAGAAAAGAGTGCTGAATTCGTCTTCATCTGATGATAGTGAGTTAGAATCATCATACACTGCATTGACAAGGATAAAAAGAAAATCCTCAAAGAAGTCGGTTACTAAAAGTGTAGCACCATGGGAGTTAACTTACAAGAAATCTATGTCATGTCATTTGTGTACTTCTGTGTGGCTTAATAAAAAATCATATACCAATCATATGCGATCGCACAGTCACCTGGTAGAAAAGTATAGAAATATACTGAAAAGACAATGTAAAATAAATTTGGTCAAAATTGATGGCAAACCCAATTTAACTGGTTTAGCAGATATGGTGGTACACAATGAAAGTAAAATAGTTGCTCCTGGGAACTCATACTTTTGTACCATTTATTCAAAAGAAAATCATAGCTGCTCCTCTGGTGAACACATTGTGCAACAAAAATATGAAGATGGAGGTTCATGTTCAGATGATGAAGACATTGTATTCAAACCAACCAAAAGAAAAAAGAGGTTTATATCTAGAAGTTCCAATGAAACTGTTGTAATAGCAAGCAATAGTAATAAGATATTATCAGACTTAGAAGAAGACTCTAGTACTCAATTTAATAATGCTGAAACACCCCTAAAAGATAACAGTCAATGCATAAACATTGATGATTCGTCCGACAGCGAATTGCCCAATGAAGAAAATACACAAAAAGTTAAACAACCAATAGTAGCTCGGGAAAGTGATTATCAAACAATTCAAGATATGATATCAGCATGTGTTAGTTCCTATACTAGCAAGAAAAACGAATCATTTGAGATAGATTCTAATATAAATACGAAAAAAGGGAAAAAGAAAGATAGTGCAAACCCTATCACTCTACTCAACCATAAAGTTTTAAGCATTGGAAGGAAAATTGTTACTAAACAAGGTCTCAATTGTACTGGAATATTAAGATACTTAGAGTATAGGGATCTTGACATAGTCTGGTTACCCAACAATGCAAGTACAAATTACATTCATATTTCAATGACAAAATCAGATGCACTTGCAAATGATAAAGAAAGTATGTGGAAAAGTATACCTAAGACATTAATGTCACCTGAATCATTGCCTACTAAAGTCGCTATTGCATCCTTGCCAGCCACACTATACCTCGATAATAAATCGAGTAATTTAGATTCAAAGAAAATTTTAAATGCCCATCCTGTTGCAAACCCTAAACAATTGCCAAGGAAATTGGGACCAGCTTCTGAATCTAGAGCACAACTTTCGAGAACGTTTGAAGAACCAGCATTCTGTATGCCTATTATTGCATCGACAACTTCATTAGCAGAAGTATCTACTGATCAACAGAACCAGGAAGCTAATGCCAAAACTAGTGCTACATCTGAAGTCACTGTAGAGACGACCACTTCAGCTCCCAGAATTAAAGTAAAACCAGTATCTGAACTAATGTCACAAGAAACTTTGGACAGTCTTAAGCAAAAACAAAATATGCCTGCTACTAGTAGTAACATGTTGTCAAACCAGATTGATAATGTTTGGGTGCAAAATAAGCCAGCCAATGTGTTTCTTCCAAATGTGTTGGTTCAGCCGCAAGTAGACAGCCCCAACATGCAAGTAATCCAAATGCCGACCCTAACTTTAGATTCTACAAATTCAGTGACTGCCAATGAAGAAGATGATAGTCAAGATTATGTAATACTAGACACGGCTGATCTTCCAAATACAAAAACAAAATCGCCAATGTCATATCTGAAAAGTCTCTTGCAAATTCACAATATAGTATTATTAAATACAGAAGAAGCAATAACAAAAGATTTTATTGTTCTCATTAAATTTAAAGCATTATTTAAGCAAAATAAGACTACACCTATATTGCTTTGCCTATCTTTATACTGTTGTAAGAATATGTTTTCTATACAGGTTAGAGACAGATATCAACTAGCTATTGACATGTTTCAAATGTCTGCTAACTGGCAATGGGAAATCCTTCAAGTGTATTGTGGTGAAGTTACTGTGAAAGCATTAGAGAGTGCTCGGAAACATGGCCAAGAAGTGTATGACTATACAAATCATTTTTATTGCTTACTCAAATCCATCAATTATCGCAAAGCTTGAATGTGATGATAACTGAATTTAATATGTGGTTTGCCGGGACGTAGATCTAACTGAGAAGCAATATAGTTTGTAGTTTCTATTGATTCCAGAAGTGGAAGGATTAGTTTCATATCAGGATCAATTTTACTGGTCAATATTATTTTATCTCTTAAAAATTTACTTAATGGAACAATTTTGTAGTATACCATGATGTGATCATTAATATGCTTATGCTTTACCTATTATTTAGAGGAACCTTTCTAATAATGATAATACTTTTTATTCGTGTAGGTAATATATTTTTTTATGGAATAAGCCGGTAAACGAGGATTCAGATCACCTGATAGTAAGCAATCGGCGGCGTAATTGGGCCTCCGCCAACCGCACTCACTCGACGAAATACAACGCAAGTGTCGTTTCACGTACTTTTCTGTGAGGCCATGGTATCACTCCGGTCGATCCGGCCCAATCGTGCCGAAGTAGTATGGCTCTCACAGACTTGTGAAATGACCTGTTTTATCAAATCTTATTTCGCTATGTTCTTGACTTTTTTCTGCTGTTATTGAGAAGAATTTTGTTTATGTATTTTGTATTCCTAGTTCCAGTTGAAGTAACCTGTGTCGATCATTATGATTATTGTACCCACATACAGGAAATTGTATGATATTGCATGTACAGTTATAGATTGACCGATATTGCAGATCCTGTCCGAATATCTGCGCGAGTTCATTCATGCTCCCAGCCTAGTATCGGTCAAACTTAACTTCTAGTTGTATACCTACTTAGATGAAAGGTTACACCTTTGTTGATATTATAGTTTATGTATTCTTCAATGAAGAATCATGTTTAGTTATATTTGTATAATATTATTAACAATAAAAACTTTAACAACATTATTTTAGATTTTTCTTCTAATTCTAAAATTACAACAAAATTACTTCATCAAAGTTTCCATATGGATTCAACATCTAACAAAACTTCTTTTGGGTCTGAATGTTTGTGGAACATAAAATATCCTTGAATTTGTGCTGGACTGACAACCTTGTTCTGCTCCAAAACCCTAAAAGAAAATATACTTTTACATATCGAGGGTTCACATGCATCATTACATATCTATATCAGCTAGTACATGTGAATAAGTTAATGTACCTTTTTGCAAATGTTTTAGCATGATCCGGTGCTTTATCTCCCTTATAAAATCTCAAAAACATGAGCTCTATTTGATCTTGATCACAGTGTCCCACATACTCTTTCATGTCCACTCTGCCTGGTCGTATCAAAGCAGGATCTAATCTGAAAAAGTAAAGTGAATAGATATTATACTGATTGCTATTACTATTGTCTATTGATGGGGCAGAACAGTTCACAGAATTCCTTCATCTTAATCGGTCTTGAGCCGCCTGTTTCACCTTGCTCCACATCAATCCGATGCTCGCCAACGTACCTACCTAATGTCTCGAGATAATTACAATAAACCACAAATTTACGTTAACCTCTAAAGTTAAGGTCACTGTACACCGAGATTAAGATTTTCAAAGAGCAACCCAAAAAAAAAACAACTTTATTTTGGCTACGCTACGTCGCGAAAAACATGGTATCTTTAAAATTTATGAAATAACTGGAAATATTGGAGACTTACTTACCTTTCCAAATAATTTGTTGTCATAAAAACTATTCTGGCTTCAGTAGACGCAACACCGTCGAGACAATTAAGAAGTCCACTGAAAGTTACGCGATTTAAACCTTCATATGCAGACTTCTGTGCAGGTGTATCTTCTCGAGAAACAAAGGCAGCATCCACATCTTCTAACAATATAATTGACTGCTGTGGTGCAACACTGAAAAAAAATAAACATAATATAACAATAAAGCCAAGACATTTCACAGATTTTTGCACCTGGTTTAGGTAGCATTAGATAATCTGTACAATTGGGAAAGATGAGAATTACATTATATATGTTGTGCACCTCTTCATGCTAAGTATAATATTTTAATATCCATAAGTTTCCGGTTTAAAACATTGCATGATGTTATTTGTTTTGTCTAGGCTAGGTTTTGTTTTTAGATACCACTTGATGACCCGGTAAACTTCTTAACGTCTAAAATTTCTTTTCTTTTTTTTCTTTTCTCACCTTTTAAACCTTCCCTGGGCTTCTACGAACATTTCAAGACAAAATTTAGCCAAATCGGCTTAGCAATTCTCGAGTTTTAGCGAGACTAACAAATGGAAATTCATTTTTATTTATATGTATGTAAGTATGTATGTATGTATGTATAAATTAAATTATTATGATTAGGTAGTTTATCTAGGTAAACCAAAACATACCTAAGTAGGTGATTAAGTCTATCATCAGTTAATCCTCGTTCAGATAGATTTAATACACAAATGTTGTACTCCAATTCACCTGCTAGTGCCATGATATATGAAGACTTTCCACATCCAGGTGGCCCATACAACAAGTAACCTGAAATATACAAAAAATATAAAATAATAATTATTTGAATATCTTGCCATAACATTACATCAAATCTCCTAATTCAGAAAAAGGTTGAAGTAGCATAACACTTGTCATGACTCTTGTTATGAGTTGTCATTACTTATTAAATGAGGTAGTTCATATTGCTTTATTTGAAAAAAAAATTTTTGCATACAAAAATTACCTCTTCTATAAGGAATTCCTCTTTCAGTATACCAGTTGGGATTATTGATGAAGTCCCAACAATCAGACAAGATTTTGTCTGATAAACCAGCACGAAGCACTACACTGTGCAGAGGTCGCCGTCTTCTAGGATGTCCAAAAGGTCGCCATTCAGATCCCATGGCTGTGTACATTATTGTCATACCTTCATGTTGTTTCAGGGCCATAGTCCTAGCTAAAAATATATACAGAATGTAACCTTACATGGTTATAAATATAAAATTAATATTATGTAATTAACTTAACCCGTGGTATGCCGGAATGTAGATCTACCCGAGACACAATGTATTTTCTATTGTGTCTCATATACCGGATTCAAGAGGTTAAACCATTACACAATACTACTTAGCAATATTACCTTCTTCTAAAATGTTATAATATAACTCTTTGTTTCTTCCAAATGCTGTTAGTGTAACAGTTTCCCAAGGTACGCCCATATGAAGGTCTAATGTATGTTGTTCTCTTGTACGGTCCACTTTTATCCATGTGCCACCATATCTGAAATAATAAATAAATCAGTTTCATAAAATCTCATAATCTTTGTGCGTAATCATATAAACTTACCTGAAAAAATGTTGACCAACACTAGGAATAAAATCATATTTAGTTTTTATTTGGCCAGTGTCCTTTTGTAAGAAAGATGTTTCTACACTTAAGTGCTGAGTTTGTCTAGCACCTTTATGTGTTATCCATTGTAATAACCACTGGTAGGACTTATCTCTGCACGGAACTTCAAGCGTGATCATGCAATGTCTTCGAAATAGTATCATAGAAGTCTGTACTCCTCGTCGTAATATTGCTGCACCGGCACCAATCCCAAATAATCCAAAACCCGCTCCGAAATAAGGGTTTTGTGAAAGAGATGCTATGTACTCTGCGATAGTCATGACTATTATGGATCAATTATGTCATTAATACAAAGAAAATACTTTTGTTTTAACACTATTATAATCCGTCCTGTTTGGAATTTTTTCCTATTTGACACAAACACAATTCATTGAATCTTGACAATCAGCTGTTTTTTTAGACATATAGAGTTTCGTTTAAAAACTACTCGACGACTATAAATGAAGTGTAATAATGTGTGTCTTGTCTTATGTTTTGACGAAATAAGCGAAAAGATAAACGACGAATTACAATGGATATGATCGAAACGCATGTTTAAATATAATGCTCATAAGTTCAAGTGATAAACCAAGATTTTCAGCAGTTCCGTAACTCCCACATTACTTCGCTGTATTTCTACACCAACACTAGATGGCGATAGCTTGTAGAAGTGAAAAAGTTTCTTTCAAGAGTAACTTTATTCTCCCCACTAGCTGTTCCCCGCGACTTCGTCCGCGTATAATAATGACTTCTAGCAAATTTTGGATTTTTTAATTAGTCTTCTCTGAGGTTAATTGCAATGCTGTGTAACTTTCATCACAATCAATTAAGTTATATTCCTTGTGAACTGTTGTTTATTTTCGTGATTTCAAAAAATAAACAATCCCACGGGTTTTTACCCGTATAGTACCTATCCATTCCCGTGAGGTTTCATTGATTAAAACTACAGCGCTTGAAAACTATCAGGCGTCATTTTCCGACTCTCAAACTATCGTTGTACCGAATTGCACTCAAATAGGTTCAGTGTTATAAGCAATAAAGAGTCCCGGAATTTTAACGCATAGTTCCTGTCCCGTGAGATTTCTTTTCCACTGCTAGTGTCTCAAATTCTCGTTGAACCGAATATCAATCAAATAGGTTCAATGGTTAATAAAATTAGTAGATATTCAGCCGAAGAAAATGCAAAAAGCATACCTTAATGTTGTATTAAAAAAAAAATGACAATAATCCATTGGCATAAACTCCCTTGTCAAAAATATGGCACATAATAGATCTATAGGTATACTTAATATTATAAAATTGTTTACGTCTGTTTGTTTTGTTAGAAATTGAATTGTTTTTTTTATTGAGTTGAGATAGTAGAAAGGATTGAAAGTAGCATAGGCGACATTTTGTTTCTTTCTAACCCACCACTTCCCTAAAACAGGGGCTGGAAGTTTGTATGGAGCATTTCGTAATTTTCAAGAAACCTAACATTAGTAGGTATTATATTTGTGCCCAGGAAAACATCGGGTACAAATTCTTTTTCATCTTTTGTAAACCTGTCGTCAATACTTAAAAAAAAAAGCGAGTGAAACCGTGAGCAGAAGCTAGTCCATGAACAAAATGTATTTAGTAAATTGAATTCGTATTTTTTTTAATACCTACCTGATTCTGATGATGCTAAATACTATTATTAGTCCTTGAAAACAATTTTCTATTGGCAGTCAGGCTTGCAATATAAGGAGTGTTTTGGTAGATTTTTCACACATCGGGTTACATTACCTTACCTTTTTACACGGTTCTCTTTTTTCTGTTTTATTAAATGAAGCCTATGTTTAGCATTTATAATGTAGGTATCCAACGGTAAAAGAATTTTTCAAATCGGCCCGGTAGTTTCGGAGGATTCCATTTCCATTAAAAAAAAAACAACCAAAAAAATCGAATCTTTCTTCTTTATACTATTAGTGTAGATTATCGCTATTTTATAAAAAACACACGTGTTGCTATGTGTTGCACTTGTTAACTTAACTCATAATAATAATAACGTGTAAAATACCAACTATCTTATTTCTTTGTGACGAAATGGTATCGTGAACGCGTAGTTTGGCCAAAAAATTATTTTGCGAAATTCATCAGAATGTGTTTTTTGAGACCCATTTCGCCTTAATGTGAATGCTAAGGATTTAGTAAGGGCGTGTAATTATTTTTTCGTTTTTTTTTTGCTGTTATCAGCTCTATCAGATCTCTGGACTCTGTTATCAGCTCTCGGTTAATATGATGATAAAACATAATAGTTGCGGTAATGACATTTATGTGTCTACACAGTAATAGATACCTACCTACTAAAACTATCAACTAAAAACTATCAACAAAATCTCCGCAATAGAGAAAGTCTACAGTCCTTAGGTACACTCTAAAATGTACCTACAATTTTAGAAAAAATCGATGTTGTAGACCTTAGTTATTTATTTACACAACATTTTAATGAAATAGGGTCCTAGGTACCTACCTACTACATATAAATTCTTAAAGAAACTTCTTGTAGACCTTTGACTGGTAAAGCAATAACATTAGGTATATGTACAAGGTACCGAAATACGGTTTCTACCTAAATCACTTATTCATACAATTAACGAGGCCCATAGGTAGGAAGATAATATTGCATTATGTTATATTTTCCAATGTTCACTAATAATATATAAAAAATGAAGTAGCGTGCCGCCGCCGCACGTCTGCTGGGACAATGATAGGGGTCGCGTGACCCGCACCGCATCACATCAAAGCATTTTAGAAGCACAAGGGAGACGATACACGACTACGTATGTACTTACATTTTATGTATTCGTACTAATTACTTATTCAACAAATTGCTATATCTTTACCAGTTTTGTAAACGATGGACTACATAGGTTTACCTATAGTTTCATATTTACCTATGGATAAACGCTATGAGTGGAGAATTCGATTAAGAGCCTACCGTAATTGATTACTTATTAAGATTAGCGACACATTGAACAGGATAACATAAGTTCTGTAGTAGACTGATCTGTAACAATCACATTAAAAAAAAAATCAAAGTCATCAGGTTAAGACATTTTTTTCGAAAAAGGTACTCGTATCCTTTGTATCTACAGGGCCATGTACGAACACATTATGGTTGATATTGAAGAAGTGCTAATTAAATATCAAAATGTCGTATTTTTGGAAAGTCTTATTGGTTATAATTGTGTTTATAAAGCAAGAAGCTGATTTAGCTTTAACTCTGCGAAAGTTTGTTCATCAGAAGGATATGTCGGAACATTGCCGGAGGCGCGTGATGCCCTCAGTATTTCTTGGCAAACAAGTGGTGGACGCGTATTCACAAATTTTGCATTTCTCACAACTGGAACTACCCTACAGTTGCTTTATTGGTGTCAGGTTTGTATAAATTACATGTCGCACCACCTACCCACATATTTTTGTAGAGACCCAGAATAGAAAATACTGTTTTTTTAAGGGTGGAAAATCATCGAATGACTGCTCCCGCCTGGGTGAGGCGAGACGGAGTGTCAGACTCTTACTGACTAAAAACCACCCCGTTCCTTCTCCTGCACGTCGAGCCGGAGCCCCGGTTACCCGTTAGGTTCTCCGCGACAGAATAGAAAAGACTTGCTTTTGAGTTTTGTTAACAATGACAAGAGATAGATATCAAATTGAAGTTACGCACCTAAAAATAGGTGTTCGAATTTCTCAAGATAAATGTGAAATAGTTTTGTTTGAATTATTATATTACTTTAACAGAACGGAGTCTGGTAGTAATATAATACTGGTAATTCAGCTGGTCTCCAACAAAACCCTGATAGATTCATGCCGTAAAAACAAAAACCAGCTTCTAGTTTATGAATTAGGGGAGACGTTCGGTGGTTATTGGGGCGCCTTGCCCCATGGTATTATGGACGCGAAGCCCAAGGAAGATGAACAACAGTATACAATAAAAACTACCCAACCTACGACTACCACGGAAAAGAAGACAACGTAAGTAACATTAAATCATAACAATATTTTGTTACTCGATTGTTCTAGTATCTATCTAGTAGGCATCCAGCAAGAAATATTTATCTGTTTATTTGAATAGAACGATACGGAACTAATTACACTGTACCTACTCTACTTCTTTATAAGTACCTACCAAATACGTATCTATTTGTGAATCTGTATTTATCTAGCTATGTCTTTTTTTTAAGGGGGAAAATCATCGAATGACTGCTCCCGCCTGGGTGAGGCGCGAGGGAGTGTCAGACTTTTACTGACTAAAAACCACCCCGTTCCTTCTATTGCACGTCGAGCCGTTGCCCCGGTAACCATCTAGCTATGTCTAGGTACTTCTAATATATAAAATTCTCGTGTCACTGTTTTCGTTGCCATACTCCTCCGAAACGGCTTGACCGATTTTGATGAAATTTTTTGTACTTATCTATGAGAATCGGCCAACATCAATTTGTCATCTCCCTAAATGTTAGGGGTAGTCCACCCCTAAATTTTTTTCGAGATTGCGCGTACGAAGTCTCTGGCAGAAGCTAGTATATTCATAATTATGTAGGTAGGTAAATGTAACAATATACCGCACTGTGCTAAGCCAGTGCTACATTGGACTAATCCAATGTAGCATTGGGTTAGCCGTGCCTAGGTAGTAGGAACGGAACTATTGACAATGTAATAAAATAACTGATGTGTGTATGTATAACACCTAATTACCGTGGAAGTGCTACAAATAAGTACATACCTAAACACCTTTTTTTTAAGGGGGGAAAATCATCGAATGACTGCTCCCGCCTGGGTGAGGCGGGAGGGAGTGTCAGACTCTTACTGACTAAAAACCACCCCGTTCCTTCTCCTGCACGTCGAGTCGGAGCCCCGGTTACTTAATTAGAACTTTGCACCTATGTAGATTATAAGAAACAAAACGGGTATTTGTAGCATTACACTGAAAATGATAAAATAATAAAAAAAAACTGCAAAAAACCAAAAACTAATAGTAATAAGTATAACAAACAAAAAGGCAAAACTAAAAAGCAAAAAATAACTATCTACTACTACTAATAGTACTGATAGGTTACCCACCCACTGATAGGTAAGAAGTCGGTGCCATAAGTTCCATACAAAATTATTCATTAAAACCTTAATAGGTACCTAATTCACAATTTTGTGGGCATTAAGTTATATCATTATAATATGAGCTTATGGCACCGACTTCTAACCTATCAGTGGGTGGGTAACCTATCAGTACTAATAATAGTTATTTTTTGCTTTTTAGTTTTGACTTTTTGTTTGTTATTAGTTTTTGGTTTTTTGAAGTCGGTTTTTTAAACGCAGTTTTTATTTTATTATTTTATCATTTTTAGTGTAAAGCTACATAATTATACCCGTTTTGTTACTTATAATCTACATAGGTGCAAAGTTCTAATCAATACAAATTATACAAGCCCGAACACAAGGTAGTTACTGTATACCGTTGAGGAGTTCCCTTAACAATTACACTTCTTCATCATCAGACCCTTAATGACAGCTCCACTCTATCTAGGTGTAAAGTCCTCATCAATACAAATTAATCAAGCCCAAACACAAGGTAGTTACTGTATACCGTTAAGGAGTTCCTTTAACAATTACACTTCTTCATCATCAGATCCTTAATGACAGCCCTACTCTATTTAGGTGTAAAGTCCTCATCAATCCAAATTAATCAAGCACAAACTGAAGGTAGTTAATATAAACCGCTGAGGAGTTCCCTCGACTGCCTGTCGGCTCCATCATCAGGTCAACTCCAGACCCTTATCAAATTGTAGTGTTTCAAAATCCTAATTGAAAGACATAATAGACGCATTACTCGCCCATAGAATTTTCGAAAGTTCCCCTCGGTTTCCCTAGGATCCCATCATCAGATCCTGACCTCATGGAAATGGGACCATCTCGGAAGTATACCCTTTCAAACAAAACAAGAATTTTGGAAATCGGTTCACAAATGGCGGAGTACTGCGCGAACAAACAAAAAAAAAAAAACAATCAGCCGAACATAGTACCTCCTCCTTTTTTTGAAGTCGGTAAAAATGTAGGCATGTTATGTCTATGTATGGTATGTAAACATATAACAACTATTTCTTTTAAAAGCACTCATACACCACCTCCTACAACGTCGACAACAGAGTCGGAGGAACTTAAACCTGTGAAGCAACCAAAGGATTACATTGTGGAGATACCCATTGTCAACGTGTCTTTTCAATTGGTGCCCGGACAACTGCCACCCAAAGCCATCTTCGACACTGAGGACAGTTTCGATAAATTTTTTGATGTTAAGCCATGGTAATATGTAAAGTCTACTATATTATGGATGTAGTATATAGGAAAAAAAATAAAGATTGATTCTCTATAGAGACTGTAGCTATTGTTAGATACCTATACTAAATTGTATGCTTAGTAACGAAGCCATATCTTTTATAACTTTTGATCGGCTCAGTAGCCAACAAAGGTTACTGTCTCTGTACGGAAACAATGTCATTATCTTACCTGTACCTAATTTGAATGACTGTACATTTTGATCTTGTAATAAGTGTTGAGAACGGTAGGAAAAGCAAGTTGCCCGCGGTATTGTCATTGTAGCTTTAATTATTTTGCAATAAAATTGAAGACAGTATGGCGCTGCTGAATTGATGTGTAGATAGCTTCAATCAATAATAGAATATCAAAGTTTGACGGACAGAAAAAAAGTGTTAATATTGATGTTTACTTAGGCCTAATATTACTTACAAGACGACGGTGCTGCCTCTGCTGCAATTCTCGTTGGAAGACGAAGACGTAGGGGGTGCGTTGCGCACTCCCGTCGCTGTGGAACCTGAGCTTCCGGAGTTCCAAGTCGACTTCAATTCCGATATATTCACACCAGACTACAGGTAGTAAATAAGCTGTACGGTGCCTTATTAGGTTAGCAAAGAAAAATACACTAAAATGATGTTTGTTTTTTTTATTTTTTTTTGTTTCGTTTTTTTAAACTGATATCATCACCTGTGGTTACATAATGAGTACCTACATAAATCATTATGAAGTCACATGTACACAAGTACATATTATATAAAGAAACAAACAAAAAAGGAGTGATTATTTATTTCTAGATCTACTTACAATTATAAAGTTGAAAATATTTGATACTGCTGTTACAGATTGCCTTACCCGGTATTTAATTTGCCGACTAAACGTCCACAACATAAGTATAACGTGAATCATAGACTTAACTTTAATAAAAATAAAATGTTGCTGGCTGAAAAACAATCGTTATTCTTGAAGACGTAAGGATTGCATTAATTGAATACTATGTTTTAACTATATAACTAGTTTTCATAGTTCTTGGTCGTAACTTTTTCTGTATTTTTTAGATCTTTACCTATGTTTCCATATCATACGTTCGTGTCACGGCCTCAAGACGTATTCACTAGCCATTATCGTACTTCACAATCTCCGTTAAATAAGAAACATTCTGAGTCATGGGATGCAGTTAACGCAATTTTGAAAAACCTGAATAGATCTGAACATGTTGCTGGTAAAACGAAAGTTGATGATACAGTGGCTAAACTTTTACAAGGACTTGCGAAAATTGGACACAATGTAACTGGTTAGTTCCGAGATGTAGTAGAGACTTTAAAAATATTATGTACTTGAAATTTTCGCACCGAAATTTAATAATAATATAATTTAGTAATAATAATAATTTTAGTCAGTTTAGGAATCGCTAACAATTAGAATAGAATAGAATAGAATAGAATAGAATAGAATAGAATAGAATAGAATAGAATAGAATAGAATAGAATAAAAATTAACTCGATCTACTACATATTTTATAGTCCAACAAATGCATTATTGAGTAAATAGACTTATTAATAACATAGAAACTTATAAATTCATTACATGTTTCAGATATTTAATACCCAAAGAATCTGTCTCATTCATAAGATGTTCAATATGTTCATCCATGTATCTAGTACTCTATAGGTACGGTAGCAGATTCATTCATTACGAATGAATGTCTTTTTAATTGGAGCAGTCATTCATGTAACTACACTACTTACTGGCATCAGCTTGCGCTTACTCATTTGATAGTAACTCTTAGGTAGGTGCTAACTTACTAATGTTGTCTATATATGCCTAATACCTTATAAGGCTAATACTTTATAGGGTGTACCGTATGTCCGTATAAGCATACTTATCTAAATATTGTGAATTTAGTATGTTCTTTGGAGCATTAGGTAATTATTATGTTCCTCGACACACGACACAACTCGACTAGTTTCAAGTCATGTTAGAAGCTCATATTCATGAGCAGTATTCCGCGACCCGCGACGCGACGACTGTACGGAATAATTTAGCATGTCTCACGAAAGCCATAACATGAGCCTTAGGTACTTTATCATTAGTTTAAACTGTTAGTTTTTTTACTACACTCATGTTTTTAAGAGCTTTCATCTCTACTTCATTATACACAATAACACAACACAATACTGGTATTACTTTCAATTATTATGATCACAATTGTTCACATTCACATGCGTTCAGCGGTCGCCCATCTCTACTTCATTAATGTCTTAGTTTCATGCTAGGTACTTCTGTAATATAAATATGTACAGTCTTATCATCAAAACACCTAATAATATGGCAGGCAAAGCTGTACCTAGGAGAAATTATTCCGCTAGCAATAGGAAAGTAAGTAAAACTGTTTCGTACATGTACAATTTCAGGCTTAGCAGTAAACACGTCGAGTGTTAAACCATCAGTGACGGCGTCATGGCATAGCACGACGGAGTACAAAACCGACTCCATCACATGGAGACAACCGTCGGCCACGTATCGGTAACATTACCTTGTATTTATTAACTTCATATAGAACTGGAACCTACGTTATTTTCTGACGAGTAAAATCTCTACAAAATATTATGGTAATGAAGAAAAGTTCCATGTTCATATTAATTAACGTATAAATTGATCAAATCAAATCAAATCAAATCAAATCATGTTTATTTGCTCAAACACATGTGTACATACAATAAACAATAGCATGTAAGATAGCGGGTAGTAGTGAAAAAAGTTCGAGACATGTTTGCCGTATACAATGGCGTGCAAATATAGTAGTCACTCGTAATGATTGCGAACTAACCGACATCTTTCGAATGTGGAAACCTTATTCAATAATAGACATTGATGGAATATTGATAATAATATGTCAGAGTAACCATCATTTTACATTTAAAACAATAGAATAATAATAATTAAAAAATTATGTCTACTTATTACTGTTACAACAACAACAGTAAAGGTATAATATACAATAATGTCAATCAGTAAAAACTAATAAAAATAAATATGTCAAATATGTTATGTCAAAATTATATAAATCAATTGCATTTTATTAATTTTTCATTATTCAAGTATATCTTTTAGAAAATCGTCGACATTATAATAGGCCTTTCCAACGAGAAATGATTTCACTTTCTTTTTGAATAATTCACCATTAAATTCTTTCCAACTGTGTGGAATCTTATTAAAAATTATAGGAGCCATGCATATAACACTTTTGCGCATAAATGCCGTCTTTGACGAATGTAAACAAAGTTTATTATTATCGCGTCGATTTCGAGGAAACATTTCAGCCATACGTGGGAAAAGATGAGGATTATTTTTGACAAATAAAGCCACCTCTAATATGTAGATTGATGGTAATGTCAGTATTTTATAACGTATGAAATAAGGCTTACACGAATCTCTGACGCTCAATCCGAACATAGACCTTATACATCGTTTCTGAGCTTTAAAAACTATATCTTTATCAGTCGCGTTGCCCCAGAAAATGACCCCGTATCTTAAAACGGATTCAATTAGTCCATAATAAGCTGTCAACAGAGCATCCTCATTGACAGTCCAAGATAACCTGTAAAGAGCAAATGCACTACTACTAATTCGTTTACAAGTAATTTCAATATGATTCTTCCAATTTAAGTTACGGTCAATCGTTAAACCTAGAAACTTTGTAGTATTAACAACGTTAATAGTATTATTATTATATTCAATGTCAAATTTAGGAAATGTCAATGCCCGTTGGTTAAAATGTATAATTACTGTTTTATTAATATTAATTTTCAAATTATTGCTATCTAGCCATTCTATTGCCTTATTTAAGGTATCATTCACATCTTTTTCATACATATTTCTATTGCTGCATGGTATTGTGATAGTACTATCATCTGCGAATAGTGTCATGGGATAACTAATAGATCTGGGAAAGTCGTTTATATACAACGTAAAGAGAGAAGGTCCTAGTACACTTCCCTGCGGTACGCCATACTTGACAGTGCGTTCGTCAGATACAAATATTTCTTCCCTTTTGGTTTTACTATTTATTCGATTGATTTCCGTAACCTGAATTCTATCACATAAATAAGATTGGAACAGATGTAAAATGTTTCCTCGAATACCGTAAGTTTCCAGCTTTTTTAACAGTGTATCATGATGCACGTAATCAAACGCCTGCGTCATGTCACAAAAAATAGCACAAACTGGATTATTTCTATCTATATTTGTCATAACTATGTATAAGAAGTCATAGATAGCCATATTAATGGTTTTGTGTTTTCGAAATCCCTTTTGTTCATTGCAGAGTATGTCATACTTTTCTAAATATTTATTTAGTTCTGTGTATATATACGATTCAAAAATTTTGGCAAATATTGATATCAAGGAAATTGGTCTGTAATTTTCTTTCAACTCTTTATCAGATTTTTTGTGTAGCGGTTTAACTACTGACTTTTTTAATGCTTCAGGAAATGTGCCTTTAAAAATGCTGAGGTTAATTATATGAGCCAACGGCACACAGATTTCTTTGGCTACTGCTTTGATTATTTTTGTTTGTATACCATCATGGCCAGTGCTATGCGTATTGTTAAGTTTTGAAATAATTTTTAAAACATCCTGCGATAAACACGGAGCCATGAACATCGAATCTTTTTTATTGAAAATTTTGTTTGTGTCTTTGGTCTTACAATAAGTGTCTGGAAGAATCTTATCAATAAAGAAGTTATTAAACAAATTTGCGATGTGTTGAGGGTCTGTAATTTCTGTGCCATTTTCGTGTATTGTGTTAATGTAGTTCTTTGGAATGTTCTGTTTATTTTGATTTATTATCTGCCAAGTTGCTTTCGACTTGTTTTTTGATGTCTTTATTTTGTGACTATTTTGTGCACGTTGAGTTAGTTGGATAATTTTTCTGTAGAGCTTAGAATATTTCTTAAATCGGTCCTTATTTTCTTGAGTTGGTTTTAATCGGGCCTGCCATAGTAATTGGCGTTTCTTTTTACTACAGTTCTTTATGCCTCGAGATATCCATTTCTGTTGTCTACATAATTTTACAGAAATCAGCGTTTTTGGAAAACACTGCTTATATAAAAACGAAAATATGTCAATAAATGCATTATAGGATTCATTAGCGTCTTTAGCATTGCAAATTTCTGAAAATGTCAAGCTACTTAAATACGATTTAAATTTACCAATATGTTCACTGCTATAGTCCCGTTTTAGTGTACGAAATTGATTTAAGGTATATTGTCGCTTAATAGGACATTTAAGTATCTGCGCAGTGTGGTCAGATAGTGCCAGCTCCAGCACCATCGCAGTACATGACTTGTTAAAGTTATGCGCAAAGTTGTCAATGCAAGTCTGACTTTTCAGCCTAGTCGGCTGATGTATTGCAAGATTTAAATTGTAATTCAACAACAAATTTTCAAATTCAATAGAGTAATTATTTCTTTTTAAAATGTCAATATTAAAATCTCCCGCTAGAAGTATATTCTGGTAGCCTTTTTGTGCTAAAGAACGTAATATCATTTCTAGTTTCTCCAAACATTCGTAGAAATTTTTAGGATTTGGCACTCTGTATATACAAACAAGCCCTATCCTATAACTAGTGAGCTCGATGGCGCAACATTCGAACACACCAGTCACCGACATCGTAGCTATTTTCGGCAATTCTTTCCATTGAAGTCCGTTCCTAACTAGAATACATGATCCACCCCTCTTGCTCTGTTCCCGGCAGAAGCAAGTGGCCAGACAATAATTTTGAATGTTATGATCTGATTTTTTGAGAATTTAATATATTTATTTATACATATTTATAAAGGTAGCACGTATCGCACCTTTGATAAGACAATTGGGGTTAAAAGGCAACCATTCGGGAATAATTCTGTATGTTACCTATCTTATAAATATCCTACATGTCACCAGATTGGCATATTTACCTTGAAAACGCATTAATCTCGATTATCGACGACTAATAATCATTATTACTATGAATATCACAAATATGAAATTAATATTGTTATAGGAAATTAAAAGAAAACAACATTTCAAATAGCAATCCTTTTATTTATTTTTGCAACATAATTCCAGGACAAATTACTTAGATGATGAAATAGAGGAACCAGTGACAACACAAGTTTCCAGCAGTACGGCAAGTAACATAGATGACAGCATTGGGCTTCTGCTGCCAATTGTAGGCATAGACACAGTTATATTAAATAGTACGTACCATATCTATATATTATGTATATATGTATGTATGTAGGCATATTGTACTCATGTGTAGGTATACATTATAATTAAATTTATTTATGTATGTATATCTCCGAAATATATTAGTTTATCTTTCATTGTTAAATAAAATCACTGCTTGCCTCTTGCACCTACCATTTACTCTTCTCTGCATCACCCAAAGGTCAGACTGGTAGAAAATGCCTGCGGCATTAAGTCCACCTTTTTGTACATTTTGTGCATGAAGCATTTTAAATAAATAAATAAATAAATATCATACATTGAATTATACATAATTATAAATTATCCACATATTTGTTGAGGTATACCTACAACAATAAAGTATAATGCTGCTTTTCGTGACATTTATAAGTACGATATCCATTGCAATGTCGTAAATATGGTAAATACGTAAATCCTTATAAAGTTACAAACTGTATAAATAATTATTTACAAAAAAACTGAAAATAAAATTGTACGCAAGTACCAACATTCAGAAATCTATATAAGTAACTATGTGTATAGGTAGCCAGGGAGGCTAAATTACAATAATATGTTACAAAGTATAAAGACTTTTTTATATTTCAGTAACACAACCGGAGACAAATGAACCATCAACTTTGAATGAGTCTGAATCGACCACTTTAGCCACAACCTCAATGTATGTATCTATTATCTAATAAGCTTTCCAATTCAAATGTTGTTTTAATACATCTTTGTGACGGGGCAATGTATAAATGACATGTTAATTAATAACAACACAAAGGTCCACTAAAATGACAAATTCGTTAATTAAAACAATAATGTCAACAGTTATATTATACATACCTCTATATCTACGGAATATAGAATTCTATATTCCGTGTCTATATCATAATTCATTTCACAACAATGTTTTCAATAAAAATATTTCTTACAAGAAACATAGACATATCTACTTGCGAGACACTTTTTGCGCCCGAGACACTTTTATTACGTTACGTATGTTTAAAAACTACACAAATACTAATAATTATTGTTTGTTGTCCTCTTATAATCTAAGCTGAATGTAGGTACACCTGTAACACGCAAAGAGTAGACGATGCAACCAGTAAAATAATTCTATATTACTTAGCGACCGCCTACTAGTATAACAATGATCCATTTCCGTTAGTCGACGCTTTGTATACTCTGTTATTTCTATAGTTATATTATTAGATAGTTTGACTCTTCATCCTATTCTATCCAGCTATTAAATATGAAATATGTATAGGTATACTTATAGATATTTTAAAAGGATGTTCAGTTCCATGTTGGGAAAAAGGTAATAGAAAATACTTCATAGCCTGGATTTATTTTTTATCGACAGAAATATGTAGGTACCTATACTATACTGATTTGTTAGTAAAATTGTAGATAACTTGAGTGCGTTCACCCAATAATCTAAAACTTACGCTACGAGTACGTCTTGTTACGAGCGCGTAGGAATCGTAGCAAATTAAAATATAGCTAAATATTATTATGGACTTGTAGAATCGAAGACAGCTTTTTTTATTTATTTCTTTTTCTAATTACGTTCCTTGACTCGTATTTATTTATATTAATAAAACTTCTGTTTTTATATTTCCTCTAGATTTATACGGTCTTTGGTTTTTCGATGTGGCGATCAAAAGAGTAAGTAGGAGTATTGAGAAGAAAACTTCTTAATGAATATTGTGTTTTTTAGAGAAAAGTCTTTGACTCTACTAGACCACGAGTCGTGGGAGAACATGGTACACGCGGCGTCTCTAATGGCGGTCGCGCTGAACCAATCCGTCACGGCCCGCGAGGACGTTGACACGCAGGGAGACAACGTCAACGTCACCATATCGACACTAAGGCAAGTACTGTCAACAACTCACTGAAATATATCCTATATAGTAGGTATCTTTGTATAATAACTATCGCAAGCCAAACTAAATTCAATATAAATAATGGTTTACATATGTAAAATGAAATAAATAAAATGCAATGAAACGAACGAATAAGAAAACTCAGTCATTTTACGTAGTTCTATTACTTGTTCAGTTTTACTACTAATAAAGCTTTACTACTAGTTTCCAATCACAACGAACACTGGTAGACATTTTCTCCGCCATTTTACATGATTAAACCGTTATTTTAAAAACCATGTAGTTTGAACCCGGCGAAATAAAATTGAGATAACCATTTGAATACAGGTTGGTAACTATACCTAGTAATTAGTGGGTTACAAAATAAAAAAATTAAACAAGTCAATGGATTTGATAGTTCAATTACGCTTTCACACTGATAAAAAATTATAAATTGAAATATTGATATTAAGTACCTACGTGGAGGTTAGGGATGGTCAGATCAAATACATATAAAAAAAACAATGACTACAAATTGATTCTTAAAATAAAAGAAAGGTCCCGAAAGCTAAAAAAGCTGTCGAAGGACTGCAGGAAGAGATTCCTTCGGGAATATGTAGTACCTATGTACCTCCAATATATTTATATATGTTCTCCTGTGTACGGTCTGTGTGTTGTGCATAAATAGATAAATAAATAAATAAATAAATAAAAAATAAGTAAGTTCTTAGAACTTAAAATGTTTAATTGAACATTGTGTTTATTACTGAGTTGCAGTAGTACTACAATGCGGCACCAGCGTAAGAAACGGTACATTCACGCGATTCCCATCGAACATGTGAAGCCTCATTACCTGCCAGTCACGCAGGACATCCCTACTTCGACCCCATACAGCGACAGATTATTCAATGCGCAAGAGTTTCAGCGACGTATAGAATTGCAAGATGACGAGGTCTGTTACGAATCAACAAAGTAGCTTCTCTGTAGGTAGTGGTATATGGTTGAAGTAGCTTCTTCCAGCGGATTCGCCCGCGATCCCAGGGGTAAAATGCCTATGTATTACTTCAGATCATAATCTATCTCTGTTCCGAATTTCATTTCGGTCCCTTCAGCCGTTTTAATATGACTGAGTAACAAACATACACACCGTTACACAAAAATAATCCTTATAGCATGATTCAGAATTCACGCGCGACGGGCGCGATGGCTTATTAGCGTATTTCATGCGTAAGTTTGGTGTTTCTATACCGATTTCTATGATTCTTTTTTTATTGAATAGGTAATAATGTTAACTTTTTTAATGGTAATAATGGATGAGTGAGAGTATTATAAACGTAAGAGTAAACAAATATAAGCAGAAAGCTCCATACTGCAAAACTATCGGGAGTTACACGTGTTGTTATTAGTAGTAGTACAACGATAAAATATAGACATATATGCTGTTTCGGGATTTTTTTAGATAATTTTATATAGAAAATTTCCATCATATATGATTTCTACATAGCTTTAACCAATAAGGCTGTAAACACAACGGAAGCTTAAAATGGTGTAACTTCTCCCGTTTTCCAACATTTGCCTTCACTGATCTGCTCCTATTGATTGTAGCGTGATGACATTAGTACACTACACTATAACCTCCCCAGGAGTGTGAAGAATAATTCTAACTAGTTTCGTTAAAATCTGTCGAGTACTTTCTGTTTCCATAAGGAACATACAGACAGACAGACAAAAATTTTACTGATTGCATTTTTGGCATTAGTCACCCCCTGGTACAGAATTGACCTTATAAGAATAGATAAACTTTTTCTGTAACACATAAAGTCTTTGTTTATGAGGGCGGGAAATCATCCAGTGGTTCCTCCCACCTTGAGTGAGGCGAGTCTGCGAGAGGCAGTGCCAGACTCTTACTGACTGAAACACCCCGTTCCGACTCCTATTTCGAGCCGCAGCCCAGGTAACCTGTTAAGTCGTCCGCAGCTCCGGACCACGTGAAGTCTTGTGGTTCGAGAGGAATTCGTCTTCATTGCCTTCAGATCCACGACCGTGTGGCGTTACGCTATCTAAGTCAGTATGTTGGACCAGTACTGTTCAACATTTGCGACTTTGATGAAGCAGCTGCAAGACATGTTTACCTCTTCAACTCATCCAGACTTGTGCTCGCTATTTCCAATTTTACTGTGAGTTCGTTGTACTACTATACTTGTTCATGCTTATTCATTTGTACATTTTATTGTGGTTAGATATAGGTTTTAATTGAACCTTGAATGTTTACAAAAGTTACCTACGTGGCAAGTCATTAGTGAAGATGTAATGTACTTCTTCTAATATTTTTATCTATCAATCAACATCCGAGTCTTCTAAAATAGCGAATATTCATAAAATATTTTGTTATTTTCCCTACATACGGAGTGCAGTTGGAACGTATGACGGTGGTGGTAACTCCTGCGCGCACTCTGCTTTCCAGCGACGGGCAGTGTCCGTCAGCGAACCTCGAATGCCAGGTGTCCGGCGCACGTGTCTGTATCGACTCACTCAGCGCTTGCGACGGCGTACCCAACTGTGGTTCATACGGTAACTCGTCAGACTTTGTTGTACTCTTCTACAACCACAGACAGCTAGTACATCAAAACATCATTGATAAAATATAACGTAACAAATCACTGAAATCCATACCATATCCATATACAGGAAATCCTTGCATGTTGTTTTAGGTCCATCATATTGATTGACAATAAAATGAGCCCTAGAATTTAGGGAAATTATTCCAATTTCTCGTTTTATACCTATCAGTGCTAAAACGGAGTTAAAACAAATTCGTTAATGTTTCTCATTTCTAGACTTATGAAGGACTCTTAAAATCCTCTTTATTTCAGATATATATGATGAGGATCGTTTGACGTGTGGAAGATCAGCAGGACTTCAGCATAACGTGTGCCTTGCCGCCATAACTTTCTTAGCAGTTTTACTTACTATACTATATATCGTGCACTATTGGCTCAAGCGATGTGTGCCCAGAGTGTCTGATGCCTTTTTCATATACACTGATGCTGCTGAGAATGTGTATGTTTATTTTAATGTATAAATTATGTTTAGTTTGAATTTGAAAACATGTACGAGTATGTGTAGGTGCCAACTTCCATAACGCGATGAATGTTTTTGGTTTCAGTTTATACTTGGACCCTATTATGAGGTCTCCATATGATACTGAAGATCCAAAGGAGTTTTATCGAACCGGCGTTATTCATGATGATATGGAATGTACCGACATGAAAATAAAAAGCAAGTCAGTTAGTCCTTATATTAGGCGATTTCTCAGCTTATTTCGACGGAGATGTAACTCAAATCGTGATGCGGCACCCGTTAAGAAAGAACAAGAAATTGACATAGACTTTGACCGCCAACGAATGTATTCGTATGGCGAAGTTGAGTTAACTAAATTGGGAGCTCCTGCGTTGACAGATATGGCAGTGCAAACCGGATCAAGTTTAATAGGAATTCACACATTGGATTCAGTTGTTGTTAACGTGTCAGATCACGGCAGATCTTTGGAGGTTGATTCTGAGATGGAAGAAATAGTAACTTATTACGAAGTAAAGCGAAGATCAACGGAAAGCAATTTTATTGACTTAGACGATCGTGTGTCTACGGAACGCGTATTTAAAGAGTTGAGTATTTTGGAGTTCTTTAAACGGGCAAGATCTGTTTCTGTGGACATGCCTCCATATCAAGAAGAAAGAAGTTCAGAATATTTGACTCAACTTTCTCCCCAAAGAGAAGAAGAGGAAATACAAAGCCTTAACTATGAACCAAGCTTCGAAGTGCCAGCAAGCGTTACTTCAATGAATACGGAAATAAGTGGGAAAAAAATTGAACACGCAAATGTTCAAAAGAAATTAAGATTTGAAGATATTAAGGCGGAGCCTGAGAATGTAAATGTAGAGGGGGCAATGCCTGAACGTGGTCGACGGAGCGTGGTGTATGGGACCGGGAAGAATTTGCCTATAGAGCAGTCAGACTCCGGCGGACAAATCGATGAGCCGAGTACTAGTACCAATAGGAAAACATATTTTTGGGGCAGCAGTAAAAACAAACCTAAAAAGCCAACTAAGAAAAAGACTCAATTATTCTCGTCTACGATGAAGTAAAGCTTCTGCATAAGCAGAAAGAGATAACTGTTTTTAAGTTTAATGAATGAGTCAATTGTAGTTACTGACTTTAATGTTTACTTTGGTTTATAAGAAGGGGAAACGATATATGTATGTTATAATAATATTAAATAGATTTAACATAGCTAATTAATTTGAAATCCAAAATAATAATTTATTATGAACACGGTAACGTTACGTGTCGAACGTAAAAGATGGTCGACAAAGCGGCGTCTGCGCCCGCGCCGCTATTTCCTAATTAAGACCAATTGTGCACCGGATAGAACACGTGCCAAAATGTGTGATGTCTTTTTAATGTCATTCCGTCATTGTGTATCTCTGTCATTATTTTGAAATTTAAATAAACGTTTTATTTAGTAGAACACGTCACACTAATTGGTGAGCAAAGAGACTATCAACCAGTATAATGTATTGTGCATGGCTGTTGATGTACGGTGGGTTAAACATTAAATAAAATTCACTTTACACAGATCTTTATCTGTACCTGATTATGATGATATGAGCTCATAAAAAAATAAAGTACTTATAGTTTTTATGTAATTTTTTTTCAGTTATATATACATCACGCGTTTTATTCCCTGAAAGGTTGTGCATAACATATGCAGTGGCATATACTAAATATAACAGTCACTTTCTACATTTATAAAATGTCACGCAATAGGAGCTTGTTGTCACATAAAGTACAGATCACAGGTCGGAGCTACGGGGAACCACAAAGGTAACGATAAGGAACGGGTGGTTTTTAGTCAGTAAGAGTCTGACACTCCCTCCCCAGGCCGGGAGGAGATCTAATGAATTTCACTATTCAAAATCCGACTGCATTATAAAATGAGACTTTCTGAATACCAGTGATGTACAAAATACCCAATACAAAGTATCTGAAATACAAAATACAAGATACTTTTAAATTAAGTACTTCAGACACCAGATACAAAATACTATTGATCTTGAACTCTACATACAAGATCTTTAAAATATTTTTTTAAAGATAAAATACTTTTCTATGATACAACAATTGAATAAATTCGATTTTCTTTATTATGAAGGACAATGCTCACGAAGTCTGAAAAAAAATCCAGGGTTGGCGCAAATGAAACTTCACAGAAAAATCTCGGATTTTTGGTATGGTCCTAAAAATAAAATGCTACATAGGGGGCATCATAGAAATCGATAGTTAAATGTAAGAAATTGCTGTTAGTGCCTTATTTCTTTTCGTTTGCGTTTGATTTTAGACCATTGCCCTTTATAAATTAGCTGAATGCAAAATGTGATCAGATTCGAATCGAAGCTTTTACATTTTTTTACATTGATGAAAATAATTTTAATATTTTTAAAATAATTTTAATATTTTTAAAATTATTATCTTATTCGAAAAAGTATTTGTAAAATACTAAGATATAGAACGGGTGTATCTATGTGCAAGATATAAAATGGAATTTTTAGAAAAGTATTTCAAGTACAAGATCAAAATACGTATTTTGTATCTTGTGTCTGTATTTCAGATACTTGTATCTCAAATAAGTCACATCTCTGCTGAAAACTGAAGATTTCTCCGCCAGTCGCACTTGGATGGAACGACTCGAGCTAAGAGGCAGCCAAAGTACTTATCTAGTCTAGGTTTTTACATCAATAAAAATGTCAGTTGAAAGATAAAACGCTATTTAATGACATTCGTTAGTGAAGTACAGATACACAAAACATTTATTGTAGAGGATATTGCTGTGACAAACGATTGTCTCGTTTCATTGGGGGCAATGAAATTTATCTTAGAGCTTTTATGGCAGTTCCAAAAAAGATAGATGTAAAAGTGTCAGACTAGAAGCGGGAGCCGAGAGCCGGTGCGCGAGGTCATTTCAATTGAAATCAATTAAAGCAATTGAGTCCAATTGAGCGGGCGGCAGATTCTGCGTCGCGCTCCGTCGCCAGAGAGATTTTATGTGAAGCGCCTACGCGTCGACCGTCACATGACTCACTTGTACATCATCCTGGCCTTTTCCTAGCATGCTCCTATTTAACACGAATATTTACATAGTAATTGACTACATACACTGTGTATACACGAATTTAAATGAGGGATCCGTGGGTTATGTACCTAACTGGGCACTTTGAAGACCGTTGCTATGGCAAAGGTTTTAAACTACTTTATTACTTGTAAGGTAGACTTTGAATTTCTTGATATGAAATTTTGTCTTTAACCTTTTTCGAGTGTCTTTACTTTTTCCGTCTTTTGCCCGAATCCAGATTTAGGCAAGATACAACATAATCATTTTCTTCTGTGTCTCATGAAGTAGTAGTCAATAGGATGTAATTTTACAAAATAAAATATTAAATGTTTGGATTATTAGGGTAGGTAAAGAGTAGTAGGCTTTTACTGTGCCTCTTGTACCTATAAGCCCAATGTGTGTATGTATCCAACAAAAAATAACGAGACCTTAAATTCTTCTCCAATTTAGATTCCATGCTACTGTTGACACTATTTTATTGGTTTAAAAAGGGTAAAAATTGTCGTGATATTTGCTAACTAACTGACATAATTAATGAAAAAAAATGGATCCAACATTTAATAATATGTGCACCTGTGTTACCACTTCCAAAAATAAAAGGTAGGTATGATGTTTTGTTATGCCAGCATGGTTCTCTAAGCTAATACATATCAGATACCCATCGAGAATTTTATGAAGTCCCAAGGTCTGAAGAGAAAAACATAATAAAAATAGTACGAAGATTTTCGTACAACGGTGCTTGCGATTTTATTCGCTTTGTTTTTGAGCGAAATTGCCATTTTGGGAATATGTAGGTTAGGCTTTTTAAATAAGTAGATACATGACATAGCTCTGCGACAAATAAATAAGAACGGAGCGTTATACGAGTAAATGATAAAACTTTCATTTATCTTCATATAATATGAAATATCCAATGTTGTTACGTTTTTTTCTACAAAATACAGGGGCCAGTGGTAGCCAACAGATCGTAACCTACTACAATTCGGAGTCGCGGAGGACCTAACGGGTAACCGGGGCTCCGGCTCGACGTGCAGGAGAAGGAACGGGGTGGTTTTTAGTCAGTAAGAGTCTGACACTCCCTCCCGCCTCACCCAGGCGGGAGCAGTCATTCGATGATTTCCCCCCTTAAAAAAAACCTACTACAATAGATATGTAATTTTTGTCAGTATGTTAAGTCGGTTAAAAACTGGTTTTCAAAGAATATCACAATGCAGAAGAAATTTTATACCATAGGATCAAGTGTAGCTCGGATGCCGAGAGTTATGAATCCATCCCCTACATTAAAAACAACAAGGATCACTGAATAAAATACACATAGACTAGGCTGTGTGAAGAAGTAAGAGATTTTCTAAGTGCTGGTTGTAGAAATTGTAGGATTTCCTAAAAAGTTTTAAGTAGGTACAATAACGACGAATGCTTAGAAAGTGTAATATTTTACAAGACGAAAAAATGTCAGTCATTCGTCAGTTAAATGAGTCAATTTATTGTAAAGCTAGTCTTGACTTGTAACAATTTACGTTTTAGCTTTCATGAGACATTACGCGTGTATACCTAAATACATTACACTTCTATATATATAAAAATGAAACCCGTTTCCCGTTGTCACACAATACCTAACTTGAGAACGGCTTGACCGATTTGGCTGATTTTTTTTTGTTGTGTTTGTTATCGCAAGGAGAAGGTTCTTATGACAGGAAAAAGTTCTGAAAATCCTACGGGAATAATTCATGAAGAATGGGAGAAACGGGATTGCGCGTACGAAGTCGGCGGGCAGAAGCTAATTAAGTATAAAAAATAAATTTACGCAATGCTGTTTGTTTGTCAAGGGAAAGAAGTCACATAAATTAAAAGACAATGCCCAAAAATTTGTGGAGCAAAAACCCACAGTCGATTAAAATAATTTATATGTGGTCCTTACCACAACAGTGCACTTAGTTTACCCCAAATTCATTTTTATTTAGATGAAACCGTTATCTGAATTCTCCATTGGTTTCATTAGTGTAGGAAAAAAACATAGTACTAAAATCACAGTGATTTACGCGTTTATACAGCATTTTAATATTCTGTAGGCTCCTGGCCAGTTCGGTTATGGTTTTAGCTAAAACGTATAGCGTATTTGTGACCCCTTACTGTTACTTACTATTACACTATCTATAAATGTTTTTAACCAAGTCTGAGTTTTTTGGGCACTTTTCTTTAATCGACTTCGTTTATATTATGAGACCCATCTTAACCATTTAGACGATCAAATAAGCTCTTACTGTGTCTGTTTAAAAACGTCAAGAAAGGCGTCCTTTTTATAATCCAATACGACTGATATTACAAATGCGAAAGTTTGTGAGGATGAATGTACGTTTGTTACTCTTTCACGAAAAAACTTAATGAACGGATTTAGATGAACTTGGGTACAGCGATAGATTATAATCTGGAATAACATATGGGTTACTTTTTATCCCGAGAACGCGAGCGATGCTAGATTTATATATACATATATATTTAGGTACTAAGGCATTACTACTGTGTAATATTCTGTTACATAATAATTATGGTAAGAGACGAGAATTATTCAGTAAGTTAGTTAGTGACGCGAAACATGAGTAAATAACTGAATAACACATGTAGTGCAGAGGACAATATTAGACATCCTTTACAACATTCACACAATACTTGTAAACTTGTACAGTATCACAACGTTTTGTCTATCCCGGTACCAACGTTTTTGATAAAGTCTGCAGGACAGTAGGCTCAAATATTAACTGATTGGTTGGCTCAAATATTAGTACATATAGTGTTCACTTTTTCACTGGTAGATTGCCTTTATTTTATTTGAAAAATTTTCTATAAAAATCCTATGATAGGTTTTTTAAGAAAATAATATTAAATTTTAGTTTAGTAAATGAATGTATAAGATGATATTGAATTAATACCTAGTTGACAGTGTCGAAATGATACAAAACTTTATTTGAGGTTCCAAATTTTGGTACTCAGGATAACGAATAGTATTATTGCTTAAGGATAAAAATATAACATTTTCTTGATTTTACGGAACCCATTAGAATGTAAGAGACACGTAATCATGCCTTTAATTTTTTGGTCTCAAAATAGGTAAAATATCTATGAATCTTGAATATATCAACTGTAACTTAAGTTTCTATTGTACCAACATACATAGCAAAACTTTTTACGGAAACTATTTGTACCTACGTCATAAGTTATATAGCGCTTAATTTTACTTGGCACGGCATGTTCCGATGTAGTACTCACTGGCGCCGTGAACAGATCACGCGACTGATACGCTGTAGCACTTCCCACTTTGAATTGGTGTCCACACTTCACAATCACCACCATACTTTGGCACAAAACACAATTCGTTTTACAGAAATATTATTTTATTAGACATATGATTAGAACACAATCACATCGACGCACATGAGTTTAAGGAGAATGTGTAAGATCATGACCCACTTGTTCCAAACCACGCAAAACTGCAAATGCGACGAGAAGTGCATCAACGAGTGCAATTCGTGTTGTCTGAAAGTCACCAATAAGCCCAATGAAGCAGAGATCCCGCTGGCGAGCGCCAGCACCAACCTAAATAGACTCTGATCATCTAAATTGACTTCAATTAAATAACAACCGAAATTGTTGAAATGCGCCATTACTCCCTCGGCGCTAATCTAAGTGCCAATAGTCAGGGCGAATGTTTTATTAATAATAGCCTGCAGTTACTGTTAATTAATAATTAAGCGATGGTGTCGTCGATCGGCATCATTGCGCGTACGCCGCTGTCTCGACGCAGCGCGCATCCATATCAGCTGCATCCCGTGCGAGCTCGTTCTGTCACTCACAGGTATCGGGACGTGTGCGTCCTATTCGTATTTTATTTGATTTGACTTTTTTTTTAATTAAAGTGTGATTGTGAACGTAAAGATTAATTAATAGTGAGACAATTTATAGCTTCTCTATGGATATTTTTAATGAACGTCGTCTACAGGTACATCAATAAAGTTTCACAAGAATTGGAAACGTCCTTGGTGATTAGAATGCATTGAAAAAAATTTGCAATAGATGTTTGGTTTTTCCCACGGCTATAAATCATGGAAGAGACATATGAGTGGTGTTGATACGGATTTACAATAAAGGACTATGGACTTTCAAAATAATGATGTGGGCGTTCGTGCCCTACAATAGCATCGATACAAACAAATATTGGGAGAGTTTGTGGGAATCCCGCATGTTGCGCCGACGACGGCAGTGCGGAGCCGCGCGGCCCGCAGCAACGGGCGCGAGGGGAGCCGGAGCGCCGCGCTGGAGGAGTGGCTGCACTTTGCCGCGATTGGTTTCCCGGCGCACTCGTGCCACTGCCGTAAGCGCCCGCTTCATGTACTCGAATCTGCTCTCTCTATCGTCACACTACGACTGAGAATAGCACTCGCACACGCGCTCTCGACACTCTCGGACGCACTACTCATTGGTTCAAAACGTACGTCGAGCGACGTATTATGGTAATATAAATTGACCAACCGTAGACCAAATTCGGTTAGTTCGTTAAAGTTGATTAAAGCCATTTAACCGGGACGGACACGAGGATACGAACGGCGCGAGCGTTCGTCGATCCCGGGGGTTTGGTTAAATGAAGTCAAATTGTTTAATATCGCAGTAGATAAATCTGAGTGTCGGGTCGAGTTCGGTGGAGCGAGCTGTGCACGGCAGGCAGCGAGGCCGCCGCGACGGAGCCGAGCGAGGTGCGCGCCGAGGTAGCGGGCCCGCTGCCGCCCGCCGCCGACGGCTACATGTACGTGTGCGAGGGCGCCGGCGCCGGCTCGCGCTACGAGTGCGCCTTCGAGCCAGGCCACCACATGGAGCAGCCACCCTTCGACGACCACATGTTCGGCGAGTTCGGCAAGGAGCACCACGTGCAGGTGGTGGTGGGCGAGATCAGCGAGCTGTACCGTGACGAGCGGCCGGTCGCATTCGCACCCGCCAGTGACCAGAAGCGTAAGGAGGAGCCTTTGCTACTGCAAGCAGTGGACTCCAGCCCGGCAACGCATCCACCGCCGCCGCCACCACCAACCTCTACTAAGAAGAGCGATAAAAAGAAAAGCGACAACAACGGAATCAAGAAGAAGAAAACTAGGTAAGTGTCGTATCATAATACTTCATCTGTAAGTTTACTAAGTTAATAATGCATAAAAATTAACAATTAGGTACAATAGATCTACAATCGCTTAATCTACTCATTTCAAAAGATCTCTACGCCCTTCCGCTACGCATCTTCGTAGCAAAGAGCTACGAAGATACCTACGAAGACTGGGTTAACATTTTGGGAACGTAGCAAAGTCGTAGCTTTCTACTACAAAATTGGTAAAAATTTCGTAGCACAATACAAGCGGACTGCTTTGGAAATGGAATTTTAGCACTTTTTTCATTTTTTTAACCATGCTCTAATGTAACAACAAATTAATAATTTTTGGTGAGGACTAAACTTTAGCAGGAACCGCTTTTTGACTGTAATTAATATATTTTTAGTTACTTATTGTGAATTTTATCAATTACTAACTATTTTATTTTTAATATTTAATAATTTTTATTACCTATTTAATACCATGTTGAATAATATCGAATTTATTAGTATCGAATTTATTAACGATCAATATTGGATTTCTATTTTAATCTGGTACATACTACATAGGTATGTAGAGGTAGGTATATGTTAATTTATTTAGAGTTCAAAACCAAATGAACGAGATAAATTGAGAACATATAGAATTCAAGTAATGGAAATTTTATTTATAAGTAATTATAGATAGTAACAGTTTAAATTCATAATTTGTAATTCTGTCATTATTATAAATCATATCCTCAAATTGCCATATTCTTGGATATTCCTATTACCAACCGGTGGAAAAAACGAAACAAAAAGTATAACTATAAGTTGTGATCCATTTTGTTTTGAAATGGAAGTGGAATAAACGAGTAGTGGGTCCACGTGTGTCGGCACGCGCCTCTGTCACAGGTGACCGGCGCAGGCGCACCCTCCCTACTTTATTGTACCTTTTGTATTGTATGATCCGCCAAACCACCCCAGTTTATTATTTGCATAACTAATACGATGATTTTTAAAATGTGATAAAACCATATGGTCACGTAATGTTTTATTGAATGTTTACCTTTTTATAAATTATTGTTCAATGTCAGTTGTTTTTTAAAATATTAGTAAAAAATCTGTTTAATGATGATATTTTAAAAAAAGACACAGATCACCAGGAAGTGAGCTAATTTAAATTCTAAATAAGTCATTTTGTAAGAAGAGATAACTGCTTTGAGATTTTGAGGTAAAATACGCTTTCTGTTGGTTTAGTATAACATCACTGCGCTTGTATGTAGGTAGACGGATCACCTGATGGTAAGCAATCGCCGTCGCCCATGGACACGTGGAACACCAGAACCGTTACAAGTGCGTTACCGGCCTTTTGGGGATTAGGAGTTTGAGAATTGTTGGAGATTCGGGGATTGGGGAGGTTGGGGAAGGGGGGAGGGAGCTGGGCCTCCGGTAACCTCATATATATACATACCTAAAACTATGTTCTATTTCATCGTCACATAGAAATTTTACTTCAAAATCGTAGGCGTTTTTAAACTCAAAATTAAAACGGCTAGCTAGTTGGTATGCTTACCAAATACCGCGCATTTTCGCGAATTTTAACCATCTAGATTTTAAAAGGGCCTTAAGTTATGGATAACGGTTAATAAAAGTAACATACCGTTAGGTTTTGAGATTATTTTTAGTTATCGTATAAACGTAAAATTAATCAGATTGTAAATACACGGGTCGGGTAATAACTCATAACGGCTCGACACCCTTATGATCTAGACAAAGCTCCAAGCGGCACCCAATTCTAAGTAACTAGTTAAACTTCAAACAAGCATCTTGTAATAACTGCTGTAAAGCTACAAAGGCGACATGTTCCGTTGAGATTAATTACCCGTATGACCGCGGGGAGTCAATTGCCTTATCTCACCATCTCTTGAATGGAGGGACCCTTAATGAATGTAGTTGCAACACCATCTCACGATGATCGCTTTGTAGATTATGTTCGGTACAATTATGTAGTTCATCTCTCAATGTTTATGATGTTCATAAAGTGCTTCATAGTGCAGCTAAGTGTTACCGATTTCAATGCATTTCTGAGAGTGCCTATTATTACTGATAAGGCATAAGATGCGGATCAATAGCAGATACCTATATCGCTTACTGGAGAGACGTCAGTTAGGACTGCTTGCTTGTTCATAAGATAGTTTTACTAGATTTTTTTTTATGGGTAGAAAATCATCGAATGAATGCTCCCGCCTGGGTGAGGCAGGAGGGAGTGTCAGACTCTTACTGACTAAAAACCACCCCGTTCCTTCTCCTGCACGTCGAGCCGGAGCCCCGGTTACCCGTTAGGTTCTCCGCGACTCCGAATCGGCATCGGCCCTGTTGGGTCCCATCTGTGGTGGTCTGATGGCTCTTTGATGCGCGCGCGGAAGATAGAGGACCGACCAACAATCAGATTTTGAAATACATTTGAATTTCATTTTACTAATTTCATATTTACCTACATATTGTTCTTTGCAACCACAAAATGAAAATTAAAATGCTGTGTTGTTAAATATATGGTGTTACAATTAATAACATGATGCCACTATAAGTCAATTGGCAGGCAATTAGAGGTGCTCGCGCGCAACGGGGGTGAATTTAGTTTCACGCTCAATCAATTTCTGCGCGTGCGCCACCCGTAGCCATATTGCACGCGTCAGATGGTAGATGTATTCGTGAATGATAAGAATAAATTTATTTGTGAATGTATAATTGAGAGTATTGTTTCTAAGTGGGGCCATTTATTATAAACTCCACTAGTATGCTCCATGTTTGCAATGGGGACTGAAACTAAGCAGCTTCTTTAGATTTTAGCTTTTGTCTTTTGTCTTATAAATTGTTTTCAATACCCAATATTAATGGAATTGAGTTTTTGGTATAAGAAACTTAAATTCTTAGAGAAACTTCTTACTTTATCATAGGTTTTAGTTTAGTTTATCATAGGTATCTATAAACAATTTAAGCAAGATTTTAATCATCATATTTTCTTTTACAGGACCACTTTTACGGCGTATCAACTAGAGGAATTAGAACGAGCGTTTGAGCGCGCACCATACCCTGATGTTTTCGCAAGAGAAGAACTGGCTCTTAAACTTAACTTGTCTGAATCACGAGTACAGGTTGGTGGACATATTTGTTGATATAACATGAGAATATGAAATGCACAGTTATGAACAAATCTTTTAATTTATTTTCATTTCGACAGGTCTGGTTCCAAAATCGAAGAGCGAAATGGCGTAAGCGAGAGCCTCCGCGCAAAACTGGTTATATCGGGTCCAGTTCTCCAAGCTCTACGACTTTAGGAGGTAGTTTCTCTGGAATTGGAGGCAACTTACCAGCGTTCCCTCAGAATGGCCTCCCTGCTCCATCTGACTCCTGGTCGTACCAACACCCCTATGAAATATCCTCGCACCATCTTCTGTCATCAAGCAGTGCTGGATATCCAAGTTTCAACACTCAGCCGGGGGCGTATTCTTACACGACCGTCCTCAATGGCCACGACGGACAAATGTTCGCTCCGAGGCACTCCTACGAATACGGAGAAGGTAGTCCACCTCCGTTGGGAGTCCGCGATTACCCGATGATGGCAGCTCATTCGCCACAGATGGAGGCACATTCACATGACGAAAAGCTCGAGTATCGTTCGCACGAGCACGAAGACAAATACCCGGCGTGCGCGCTGCAGGAGGAGCCGCCGCGGTACGCTGCGCCAGGGGAGGAATACGACAAGTGCGCACTGGTCGCACACGATAAGCATTACGAAATGGAGCGCCACTCTGACCTCACGCAGCCTGTCGTCGTCAAGATGGAGCCCAGCAGCGGCCAGGCTTACACCACGTTGCCTCCTTTTTTGAATTGAAATACTCCTTTTCGAAATTATCCTAGCATTAGTGTATGAAGCCAGAGTAATTTCGAAAGGGAGTATTAGCAAGTAATGTCGCAGACGATGATGCAGACTGTCTTCTGTATCCTTGTTTTATTCTCAAGCCCTGCCTATATTTTGTATGAATTAATTCATGCTGATTATTACATCGTTTCAGAAATGAGTTCATATAAAGTGTAGGTACCTTCTTTCGATTTGAATATAATAAATTCTATTATTACTATTCGACTAGGTATTGAATTAGTTAGGTAAATTTTTATATTTTTATAGTTATAAATTATGCTTTGTTTTAAAGTTTTTGCAATAAATGTAAATACTACCTAATTATTTAAATATAATAATAATTATGTAGATTTCAAAACGCGTGCCTCTATAAATAATTATTAAATTGTTTGTAAGTTTTACATAATTTATGATTGTAGTAATTTTGAATTTAGGTCCTTCTGTCCATTAGAACGCTAGTGATGTAGACATTTATATGTATAAACAAATTTTAATAATACCAGATGTTATCAATAAGGTCTATTTCGCTAGCATTTCAATGGGTAGTAAGTAGACACTATTAAAGAGTGAAAAAACTCGTGGACTTCGCTTCTCGTGCATTCCTTGTGCCTTATATCGACAGTAGTGCCTGTTACTAATTGTTATACCAGTTTATCCATTTTGTATTGTATAAGTAGATAGACGTAGACATATTGTATACTAAAGTACTTTTTCTCAATGAATTAAGGGTTCAGTAGGTGATAGTATTTTGTAAATATGTTTTTGAAAACGTGAAACAGTTTGTGCCAAAAATTAATTATTAAGTCGCCCAAACTTGGGGCAGCATCCAATAGGTGCTTATTTAGAAATCTAGTAAGTAGTTTAAATTTGTTTTTTAAGGTCAGTTTTATATTATTCTTTAATCCCAAAGTTAAGATTATTTCATAGGCTAACGGCCCATTTATAAATCATCAATTAATTCTTAATTGCAGAATAAAATTGAGATTTGACAGTTTTTAGCATGAAGAACTGCCAAATATTCAAAGTTATTCTTTAGTTAAAAATTATATCTGATTTTGGAAAAATCGGCTCTTACTTATGTAAATATGCTGTTTAAAAACAAAAAGTTTAACAAAATAGCCATAGCCAATTTAAGTTATTAGTGAGTCAAGTCCTAAATTATTTATTTTCTAACGGCGACAGATTCTAGTATTTTATTGAAGTTAACTTTATAACTGGTATGCTACGATCGCACAAGTGCAACGCCCATTTACATAGCCAGGACACAATCTAAGACGTGCCATTGTAAATTGATACTTATCTAGAGGAAATAACAAATAAATTGCTCCTCACCGCATTGAATCCAGATTTATACCTAGGAGATAAGTGTTACTGCCTTGCAGTGGGCGACGGACTTGACTGAGGCCAGGGGGAGCAATGAACTCTCGAGAGCCATTCTTGCACTTAGGATCACTCTTAGTTATGTTACGGAACGGCCGACCTGCTTTTAGTACCTTAGTACTACGATTCAGTAGCTTCACTTGCCAAACAATAATCACTCTATCACTGTGAAGTTAAAGTACTGTTTATTATGTAGAATAATAGATACGATAATTATTTTCATTCGTCATTGCTTTAATTAATCCTGGAATTCCTTATGCAGGAACATTTTAGCAAGTTAGCCTTTTTAATTATTATGTACGTACCTAATACTTCTACCATAAATTGATTTTGTTCACAATTAAACGAAATTGTTTTTATGTTATGTAATAGAAAAGATAATTAGATTTAACGATATATCTACTTATGTAACTAAAACTTAAAAGATAGTGTTGTTTCGTTGAACTTTTGTTTGTATGGTTTTTTTTTGTCTTTTTCTTAAGGGCAGGGTAGCTAGCATTGTCTTATAATCGGTTGGTTGGTTCACGGTAAAATTAGTGCGGATCGAACATTATATTTAAATAATAGGTTTCTAGAACATAATTCGTTTTAAGTAGGTGATAAATTTTTTATATGCAGCTAGTTATAAAATCATTTAGCCAGATAAAAACATCGAATCTTTTGATTGCCTTAGAACGATAATGTTGCCTAGCATAAAACATTATTTCTTTTTATTTTTAAGTCATAAAATCATATTTATTTATAAAGAAATGGGACCAAAGTGTTTACCAAAAAATAAACCTCTTTTTACAATTTAGATATTGCGGTAATTATACAGCAGGGTGTGTAATACTTGAATAATGAATATTAAACATCCTCTACCTGTATAATTTGTTTAGTAGAGCATTTAATTCTTTATATTAAGTTACATTTAAGTTAAGAGAGCAATAAGCTGGATATTTTGTAATAATTAATTATAAGGGAGACGAGAAATTATAATACGAATGTGCTTAAAGTGAGTTTTATTACTAACCTTACATGTTTTATATACACTTCAATACACTATAATTAAGTATATAGGTACAATAATGTACACGTTGCATAATTCACATTTAAATAATAAGTATTTTTTATTTATTCATATTCATGGTGACGAATTTTTGATAGTTTAGAAGACCTATATATTTGATCTGGAAGACAATATTTGTAAAACACAATTCACAAAACATCTGATTAGGTTCAACCTGAAAAATTTTCCGAGCTAATGTAGGTGAATACAGCAAATCAATTATATTGCAATAATTATTTGTAACACTTTCCATTGTATACAAGTATTTACAATCGGCTAATTTAGAGATTCACTGATGCCAAAGAAGTTAAAGTACCTATTTAAGTACCTACTGCCGATTTATACTTAAATTATTCCTTAGTAACGATTTAGTTCCGCAAACTAGGTATTGCTAAGAAATGAGTTCAGTTTTCATTAAATGATTCTGAGTACGGCGGCTAAAAAAAGTACAAATTCCTTCACCTAACTTGAAGTAGGAAAACATTGTAACATCACTTGCATCATTCTGTCTAATCATCCTCTTTTTTTTGGGCAATACCAGGTTTAAAGTTCTGTTCACAAAGTATTGGACTATACCTTCGTTCGATACCACCGTCAGTTTTTCTGAGTTTCAACTTTTAAACCGTCCTGTCGACACCAGATGCCGTCTCCACTGAAATAGTATTTCTTCTCAATGGTGTACAACACTAAACTAAGGATCTGTGCGTCTGTCAGGCAGTCGTAACGAACATTGCTATAGCTCAGCTCGTTATTTTGTGCACCAGCCACTTTCTGGCCACTGCGCATGCTTAGCAACGTCTCTATATAGTATTTCACTTCGGAACTGCAAACAAAATAAAAAGTAATGAAATGTTCGTCAGTAAGAAGGATAATAAGTTGGAATATGCAAAGTGTTAATTTTCTATTAGTACCTACAGTTACTTACTACGTTACGTTATTTATTTTGAACTGGAATCGACCCTAATATACAGGTTGTAAACGAAACTCTTCCAAAAAACTTTTTGTGCGCGTTTTCAGAAACGTTCCGTTTACACCCTGTGTGTACCACCACATCATCTTCAGCCAATAAGTTAAAGCTTTGCTTAAAGGGGTCATAACATAATCAAAGTACCTAAATCCCAAACTTAAAACAAAATAAACTTACACAGGATACAGAAGGATCAAACAGTTATTAATAATGATTTGATGATCGAACTTATTTCTAAGGAACTGTATGTTCTCATCGATAACGCTCATGGCGACGTGTAGCCAGTACTTGTGTCGCCTCAACTGGTTCAGTACAGCGCTGACGCGCGCTGCCTGCCCTCTACCATTTTGAGATGGCAATTTGAGAGAAGAAGCAATCAGTATCGCTATGTCTCTACCGCACACTTTGTCGCCAAAACCGCTGATGTAGCTGTGGATTAATAAATAGATAATAAATATATTATGATCATCATTTAAAAAGTTAGAATTATTTGAAGACAAGACTGATGAAAAAGATATACATAATATAATATCGGTACTGAAACTTTTTCAAGGAATGTTTTCAAAACATTCAAAATAATTATTGATTCAAATTAACATATATAGGTACATAGTACTTACTTGTTAAACACTTTCGATGAAGATACTAAGTGATTCAAGCTGAAACATTGCTTTTTTGCAGATTCTATTTTAGTTAGGCGATTTAGCATTTTATTTTTATGTATTACGAGTAGAAGCATCTGGAAATTAACATATTAGAACTTATGAGAAAAGCTTCATCCATTTAACAAAATATTAAAACAATATACCTAAAATTACTGCCTCGTTGGCCGAGTGGTCGCAAAAGTGCGACTGCCAGGCAAGTGGTCTTGGGTTCGTTCCCGGGTCGGGCAAAGTATTACTGAGTTTTTAAAATTCTTAGTAGTAGCACGGAGACTGGAATTGTGTCCGGTATATGGCAATAGGTTCACCCCCTATTACATGGGACTCGTAACATAAATAGTGAAAAGTGGGTGTTACATTATACAGTGGCATTAATTAACTTGTTGAGTACCATCATTATAGACACAATTAAAGAACAAAATATTTACAATTATTATTATTACAACATAAAGTACTTTATATTATAAAGTTTATTATGATTTGCTAACCGAATTTTAGTAATTCCAAATTCTAGCCTCAAATTTCATTGTGGCGTATCTACTAATGGAATAGCCTCACTTTTATTTTCGGTGAAGAAACCTTAATGCAATAGATAGAAGACAGAATTTTAATTGCATTTACTTTATTGGAAAATTAAGTGATCATAAATATCTTACTCTAGGGTTTGTAGATAAGACTTTGTACTCTTTCAAACTCCTGAGCTCATCCAGACGCTCACGCACAGTTTCTGGTCGCATGCAGTATACCTTCAAACATTTTCTTTGGGCCTCATCAGATATTCTGTACTCCTGAAATAAATGTTGTTTGTTATAGGAAGAAGCATTCAAATATCACAAACAACTACATATTTTAATCATTTTTAAATACTCTCAGAAAAACAGAATACATAATTGGTGTAACTTGTAACAAAAGGACTGTATGGCACATATGTTGTAACTGTTGCATTATTTGTATCAAACTACTGAATTTCGTTCATATTACCTCCAAAATATTTCGAACTTGGATAATAGAATTGTAATTATTCTTCAATATAGCTGGTTCTATTTTCAAAACATCTCTAATATCCATGCCGGCCAGTGTGCCAACATTTTCTAAAATGAGTTTTGTATGTAAAGGATCAGCGGAAATAACAAAGCCATTTCTTCTGATTCCCGCTTTGTCGAACTTTATGTCATTCTCTGCTATTCTGATTGCTTCTTGGATGTCTGACATTGGCTTGTGCTGGAGGGGTAGGTAGTTTCTACAGTACTTTCGAAACTCTTCTGAAGACACTGCTAACTTCCAGTTGAGAAATCTTTCTAAGATACTCATTCGAATTGTTACTGTAAAATGTTAATAAAACTTCTTTAAAATAAAATTATATGGAACTAAACTCTTTTAAAAATATTATTTTACTCACACACTGAAGTCTTAGTATCACAGAATGTTTGTAAAGTTTTACTATTCTCTGGCCATTCCTGGAACTTGTTTAATATTATTTGTTCTAATTGTATGTCTTCTGAGAGTAGTCCTTCCTTTTTCAGCCAAGCTATAGTTCGCTTTCTAATAAATGTGTGGTATCTGAAAAGAATATTACCTAAATTAAATACTCATTTATATATAAAAAAAATTAAATATCTTTTTTCTATAAATCCTTGAAAAATGAAACATTCCATTATTAGTCTAGGAAACAGTATAATTTATTTTGACTTACTTAATGATAAGTTTGGCTGAAATAGTTACAAATTGACATTCCCTGAGTATATCACCATAATTCTCCATGGTGATGGGGTTCATACTGAATACATGGAGGTTGCAACATGCTTCCTCAGGCGTGATGCCAAACTTTTGTAGTATCTGTAGTGTGCACTGCAGGCTGTCATGTGTTACTTCCATTATGTGCGGGTGCTTCTTTTGGAGGACTGTTAGGTGATCCTCAGATATAGTTGTACCTGCATTGAATTGTGGTAAAAGTACCAGTTAGTTCAAAGGGCCATTCAGAAAGATATTTGTTACAATATTTATTCTGTCATAATTATATTAAACTGTCAAACACCAAGCGGTCACCGGTGACCGCAACCTATTGGTCTATAATTGTGACTATAATGACGGTACTCGACGAGTTAAACCAACATTTGTCTATTGTAAAACTAGTAAAAAATAAAGTATTATCTTACTAAAGATTTTACTAATAAACAACAGGTTATCTTCTAAAATTCTTTCAAAAACTAAAAAAAAAAATAAGTTTAGTTAACACTGTACCTGTAGTTTTCTTGTAAAAATCCAGAAAAGGTATGCCATGAGAGTACTGTCTAGATTTAACTTGAGAAGTGCTTGAAAAATGTATTCCTCCACTTAAATACCTCAAATTTTTAATGCACAGCCTCATTTTTGAAAAAATTGTTAATTACTTACTTCTCTTATCAACTATGCGAGTAGTTTAATACCTATACGTCATTTAATGGTATTCAATCTACCTCAAAGAATATTACACACTAATTTTAGTGAGAAATTATAAAACATAAATAATAACAAACAGCATACCCCACTATTATTGTTTGACAGTGATGTTTATGAATCACATGTAAATGACATTTATAAACTCTACGATCGTGAAAGTATTATCATATTTTGTGAAGAAATAACCTGTCATAGTTAAAATATTGTAGCTTTAGGTAAAAGTTGATATAGAGAATCTGAAAAAATGTGAATTTTGTGTTAGAAGCAACACACTTCGCCACAGTTATTTGATAAAACACGATATAACTATGGGTAAAACGTAAAACGGAATGTTTATGTCAGTTATCTGTCAAAGTCAATCAAAGTGTCACCTCTCGAGTTCAATCAACTGACTGTCAAGTGTCAATGACAACCAAGTCAATTCAATAGGGCCGGGCAGAATACTGTAGTAATTTTTATAAAAATTACGAAATTTTATAAATTAAAAGGTATATCATAGTGCTAGTGAACGATAAATATTAAATAAGATGAAGACGAATAGCTGGTTTAACTAATTGCATATTTAATTGGGTGACACTCAGAGAGTTACAAAAACAAATGTGATCGTTGTCGTAGTAAATAATAATTTTGCTATAATTTCTTTAAATAAACACTTACAGATGGATTGGCAAGCAGCAAGAAGTCATTTTAAACAAACTTGGCTGACTACGCTTCTTAGTTTAATTTTATTTGCTGGGGTTACGTACTTTCTATTGTGGACAGAGGTAAATTCCTTTGAAATCTATTTTTCTTTTTATAAAAAATAACTCATCATAATTTTTTATTGCTTTCAGTGTCAAACAATCCAGATTAACTTGATGCTTGAGGAACTGGTGTCAGCAGCTGAGACTATTGATGTTCATACCGGCGACGAAGCAGCGCGCTATGAAGGAAAGGTCGTGCATATAGTGGGACCTTTGAGAATACTCGAACCTATATCAGAACCCGACTATAACATACAAGTACAAGCTGTTAAACTACGGAAACGGGTGCAGATGTATCAATGGATTGAAGAATCTACGTAAGATTATAATAAATTAAACATTTTGAACCTGAATATATTTACCAATGCTTATTATCAAAGTTATATATACAATATTTATATTTCTTATAGGAATCCTGAAACTTACTTGAGTATTATCTAGCTGGATGAAATAAGTAACTGGAAATCTTTTACCTTAAACGATAAAACAATTTCTAAATTCATAGCCATGTATCAAAATTTAGTTTGCTATGTTGGCTTTCATAGATTGTAATATCTTTTTGACTCATGTTCCAGTCTTTTAATATTCATTCTAAAATTAACCTTAATCCCCATATTTTAGGGATCAAGATAATTTTATCAGTGAACCTGCTGATGAGTCACGTAAAACGTACTGGTACCACAAAGACTGGCGAGACTATGTGGTGGATTCCTCACTGTTCTACATCAGACCGGGACATATAAATCCCGCCATTATGCCCATGAGCAGTGAAACACATATTGCTGATAATGTTAAAATTGGATGGGCATATTTAGGTAATTATGATTAAATAATTAGTACATTATATGATTCATCATGGTACCACTATAATCTGTAATTAATAAGGTACTTGGCATGATTCTCCTCAGAATTAATGATTTCAATTGTGGATTCTAACAGCAACTTTTGATTGTTCTCATTTATTTTTTAATGTTATTTGTATACAACTAGCATGAGCCATAATGTACTATAACTTCATTTTTATTTGTCACCTTCCAGGTATTGATGTCAAACGGAAAGTCACAGATTATTACGAGATTTGGTCAGACTCTAGACCTGAGCGCAGTGATATCAAGCTTCACTCTGGTTTCTATTACCACGGAGAAAGTGCTTTGGAACACCAGATTGGAGATCTCCGTATTCACTTCTCTTATGCTGGCAGGGAGGATGATATTGTAAGTATTTAAATAGTAAAAAATTTTGTTTGAGTAAAGCTTAGATAATATAATTATTCTGGGACTGCCAGACAAGTGGTGTGGAGTTTAGCTGACGTCCTATTACCTGGGACTCGTTGCATAACTAGTTCAAACTGGTCTTTACATATTATAATTCATAATTTTACGCAAATTCGAATAAATAACTATGCAACCAGTTAGTTTATTATTGCTACTAAACTAACTAAATGACTTATCTTTTCAGTACACAGCAGTAGGTCAAGTTGAAGGTGGTACTCTACAGGCTTACAGTCCAACAAGGTTTCCTACAGCGGACCCAATTTGTCTGCTCCGCAAAGGTTCTTACACTTTGAACCACCTCTTTGAACTAGAGAAAAGAGATGCAAATATACACACCTGGCAATACAGACTGTTTGGATTTGTTCAAGTCTTGGCTTCAGCAATGACATTACATCCTGATTGGGTGACAATATGTAAGTTAAATAAAGTAATTAATGTAATAATATTATTCGCCGCGTCTAGGCAAACGTAGTGTGGGGCGCCCTCCAGCTAGGTGGAGTGACGATACCCGCAAGGTGGCTGGTAATGGTTGTATGTCACCGTTGCCATTGGAGAGGCCTATGTCCAGCCGTGGACGAGAAACGGCTAAAACTAGAGAATTTAATGAGAATTAAATATGTAAAAAGAAATTACGAATATGTATTTAATTAATATTTCAATGCAAAATATCCTTCCTTTTACTATTTTAGTCACTGTGTGTTGTTTTCCATCAGGGTTCTTTGGTGTCGATGGAAACTAATGTAAAAAAATATGTTCATTAAGTTAAACATTGTATTTCTTTTTCCAGTCTTACAAAGTACGTGGGTGTCAAGTAACTTTAGGAGGTGCTCAAGATTTTGGATAAACTTCGTACTGTCGTGCTCCTACACTTTATTCATCATTGCTTTGCCATGGTAAGTACAGTACTAAGTAATAATAGTAGTTTTATGTGTGGGAGAGCCAAGCTTCGGCACGAATAGGCCGCTACGACCGGAGTGAACAGAAGACCGACGTGAACCAATACGCGTTGCTTTGCGTTGTGTTTCGTCGTGAAGTAAGGGTACCGGAGGCCCCATTACCCCTTTCCCCCCTTTCCCAATCCCTGAATCCCCAACAATCCTCAATTTCCTAATCTCGAAAGGTGTTCCAGGTGTCCATGGGCGATGCCAATTGCTGCCAGCAGCATCAGCAGTGATACCGCCACGTCGTTTACTGGTGATCACATAAAAAAATTATGGTTAAATGTCACATTTTAATTTTCAGAAGCTGTCATTAACTTTTCTTTTCCATGCTCTAAATATCTGATGATAAGGCATGATCATACTTTACCCTAGAAATAAAAAAAAAATTAAGTATCATAAATGGTGGTTTAAACTTAATGTCGGCCCTTGTTGCAGGTTGATCCACAAGCCGGCATTCGGAGCCATAGTGCTAGGATGTTCGATGTTGCCACTGCTGCACTACTCGACTCTGATGACGCGACGCGACGCCACCCAGGACGCCGCGCAGTACACCAGGTGGATCAACACCGCTAACTGAACGACCAATGCCATGAACATGGAATTTACAAAGTGAGAGAGTATACCTAACTCAGTTCGTTGACCCGAGAGTCACACGGCTCAATATTTATATTTTTATAAGTAGCGTTAAGTCCTCAATGAAATGTGTCCCGGCCCGCTTTCTAGCTTAATACACTGAGAGATCCTGAAATCGAATAATTATACGTCAATAAGTGCAATATATTTTATTTCGTAGCTAATATTTAAATATTCGAAATGGTCATAGATTAATTTTCCCGTCGTTTAGTCGGCAACTACACGCATATAATATGCGTTTTAGGTACCTTGCGTATAGACGCAAAGTACCTAAGTCCATGTAGATGATAGCTTCCACATGGACTATGCAAGGTTTCAATTAAAATATTTTTAGTAGAATATTAAATTAGTGCCAAATTGTGAATGGCGCGTATTACTTTTATTTTGCTGATGACTAAATTGCTGCCGAAAGGAAAGAAATAAATAAATTAACAACCAAATTACTTAGTGATATGAAAAAATACTGGCAGATTTAAAAAAAAAGATGATTTTTAAAAGAGGTTTTACAAAATAGTACAAATATGATGAGCTGCTTGTTCATTCTGCCAGAAAAATAACATGACATGACAACCTTTTATCACATGGAAGTGATGTTAAAGTATATTTTTTGGTCACACTGAGGGTTCATATCTCGCATTGTCTAGTCTGAATAATAATTATAACCTATCATTAATTAGTTGTAGGTAGACTGACTGTACTTAAATTATATTGTAATTGTAACAAACAAAATGAAGAAACTTCTGTTATGTTAATTAATTTTATTATTATTATAAAATTCTACACTCTTCCGACTAATGTACGCCTTCATAATGCGATATTGCTCCTCTAGCAAACACCACGAAAGCGTAGTTTAGGAATAAAAATCTCTAAAATATTTCGTGCAAATGTCAAGAATAAATTAAAAATCTCAAAAATATTTAATCTGTAAGCGGTCCTTGAAATGTTGATGAATTAATTAATTTAAAATCGCCAATACTAAACTATTTACAATAAATACTTTTAGCTTTATCAATTTTTCACAAATTATATCTAATGTAATAATAATACTTTTTATGTTGTAGGTGTAGGGAACCCATTAAAAGTGTCACCAGCCAGAAAAGGTTACCTGTCGGTAAATACTTTTTTGTATCTTTTTTTACATTTTTTTGATATATTTTTTTTAGTACAGATTAAATTATGTATGTAGTTTTTTTTACACAGTTATTTGAAATAAAACTATCGTTATTGTTTACAGCCCTCTATGTCTCTTTTGTCATTAAATGGTATCTATTTAAAAACTATTAAGGTTTATTTATTCGAACTGTGATTTTTTTACATTAATCCTTAGCACAAATTTAGACGGTTGTATTTCGTATTGTTTAATAAACTATAGTTTTTATGTAATAATTTTATTAATTTATTACAGTATCATAAATTAGCACACTTATTAAAATACATACTGTAGATCATTTTATTCGTAACATGGCTACACATCAAGCTATGGGGAACCAGTATAAACTGACTGTTGGATGTGTGAAAAGATCATCCAAAGTGAGGCCAGAAATATTGGTTTTGTATAATTTGATGTGTACGATCGTACTCCACCATATCCCGTACAAGGTACACAAGTGAACCAATTACTGATTAAGTGTAGTTTAAAGTTTTTACATTGTGAATAGATATATAAAATTTAAATTATTAAAAACAGTAGTTGCAATAGTATTCATAATTCACTCAATAAGCGTTTTTATTATAGTATCTACCTAAATCGTAACTTAAACGTAATATTACAAAATGTAGAATCAATCCCTTGGTTGTGAGTACCGCTTGTGACTGCTGTTGTACCTATAAAATAATACTATTTTCGAAATAAACTCCTAACAAATACATAAACTGTATCTTTTATTAAACCCCTGATAGTACAGTGTTCTCACTTTTTTACTTAACGATTAGAAAAGGAAAGTCTTCTCAGCGTAAATATATATATTACACGTTTAATTCCTAAGGCAACACATTTTGTACGTACGTTGCCTACATCTAAACCTGTCGGAAGAGTTATTTCATTCTTAGTTTGTAGACAAAACATCGTAGAGTACACCAACACTTATCACACGATATCCTATTAAATTAAAAAAATATTGTAATCAAAATAATATTATCCATGTTTGTGAGATGTTTTGACACGACAAACGTTCCGTTCCTCTCAAACCGGTGAACTGAATAAAATAAATAAGGCTTTCTTCGACGTTTACAACCGATTGTACGCACGCGCAGTGCGCATCTTATCAGCTGATCTCCCTCCGCCCCACGAATACAGATACTCCACAAGCAGTTCCCTAATACTGTTACGGTTGTGATTTTTATATTCGAGTCGAGGTTAATATTGCTAAAAGGTCGTTTTTCTATAAAATCTATGCTTGCTTAGTGTTCTTAAGAACTAGAGATTACATTCGGTTGTGTGAAGTTCTGTGTTGTAGTAAACATGAAAGCTGCAGCGATGTCGGTCTGGATATTCATTAATGTGTTATGCTTCGGAATGTGTGGCTACTTGTATTTAATCTGGTATCAGTACTGGATGCACGAAGAGAAGCAGCGAAATCTCACTAAATCGGATAATCCTCCCAAAACTATGATATCTGGCGTTAATTATGCAATAGAAAAAAATAATTCCAGGTTTCTATTGAATTCTACTCTAAGAATTGAGTTCCTCCGAAAAAATCGGAGGTCGGCAGTGGGGGGTTTCTGGAGTAGTGGTGGGTCACGACAGATGTCGAACAAGACGTCGAGTTCTTACCACGTCCCGTCCAATAACATAGTGAGGAAGAGCAACGGCAGTCCCAGGTTCCCGAACATCGACCGACCCTTACTGGAGTTCGACAGTGATAAATACATTTGTAACGACGTCACTTCCTCGGACTGTAAAGAACGGACCGCAAAGTTCAAAGAGCTCTTATTGAAAGAGTTTCATAGAGTGCTAATGGGAGAAAGTAAAGTTTTCACATCAGGCTTAGATGTTCACAATACTTATGATGTTAAATATGACAGTAACAGTCCTAAGAAAAGCTCTAGAGAAGAAGTGATGTGCGCGTTGAAAAGTGTGGAGGTACAGACAGTTACTGCTGATGACGAACCGTTTGCGAGACTCGGGTTCAAGATCCCGAGGGCACCTCTACAGGAGCAGAGTCATTACAACACTTGTGCTGTTGTTACAAGCGCTGGAGCGTTGCTGGGCTCTGACTTGGGAGAATTTATAGGTGAGGTGGTTCGACAATTTAAATAAATTAGTTTCAATATTATGTAGGTACCAGGTATTAGCTAATTTGATATCGTTGTCGACAGTTATGATATGAATAACGTGACGCTTTATTTTTTATCTCCAAACGGGACATTCCTTTATTTGGATTCAGTCAGGCATCTAATAGCTAGATTCTATTCATTATAGAATCTGTAAATATAAACTTTGTACCCATAACAAAAAGGACAACATCACTAACTGCACAAAAATGAAGGAACCGACTGTACTTAGTTAAAAATTTGCGAATTATATATAAAACGCTGTATCGCTCTCGCACACCAATCGAGCCATCTGAACGTCGACACATACGACATTCGTTCGTCGTCGCGTAGTATTAAAAATTTCGCGTGGTTTCTGAAAACGGGACAATTTTGTATCCCAGAGGTTATTCAGGGACAACGGGACTCGTAATTATAAAAAGGAACAGTCGTCTGGTCACGTTAGATATAAATAACGCCGGTTTTTAGACCTAGGTAGATGTTCTGAAAGTTTGTCATTAATAGCCTAACATAAATCAGGACATCTTTTCCCAACTGAAATTCCCAAACATTTCATGTTAATAATAATTATACAAATTGAAACATCATACATTTATAATTAATGATTACTATACCTACACTTAGTTATTATTATGTGATGCTTCAATACTTTCAATATTTTAAAGTGCGCGTGATTCATAGTGAACTTGCGTCGGCGCCTGTTGTCATGTGACGAGTGGGTATACTGAGACGCACAGATGTCTACTTAGTCGCTAGTCTGTTTACAGTTATCGCTCTAAATATATTAAGTCCAAAGTTTTATTATTCGTCATACCTACTTACATCCACTACAACAATGCAGGTACCCATAACAAGCTTACCTAATGTTAGACTGTTATTTTCAGAAACTGAGGTAAGCTTTCCATGATACTAGCTAGCTGGGCCAGGTTCAGGGAATCTGAATTGATATTTTGATGAAGTCTAATTAAAAACCTATTACTAAAGCGACTATCGCACGTATACGATATGCCTAGTTTGAAATATCGCTACGTCGAAAATTTTGTCATTTACAATTTTTTTAAAACAAATTTAGATATTTAGTGAAATTTTACGTAGGGGTGGCATGTTTTTTAGGATTAACGTGTACGAAGTATTTATTATAATATTTATGCGACCGCGGGTCATCATGGCAGGTGATCGACCGCGTATTGTGCCACTTATCGCATCGGATCTTTGCTTTGTGAATCGCATTGACATGCGTAGTCGGGTCTCTTCGACGAACGGCCCAAATCGTATGCGAATTACACGAATTATTGTCGCTGGGACTCGGGACTACACTGATTACTCAGAGAAACCGATTAAATAACTACATTACTATGTCAGTAAGTACGCCTCGACCAATATGTATGGTAATGTTACGATGCAGGTGTCCACTGTGTATTTTAATTGTATTTTAAATGTGGGTATGTATCTCAATAGAATGCTCTATTTTATTTTATTAGGTGTTAATTGTAGGTACCATACGCATACATTTACATAGCCTACTTACTTTTTAGTAAACTTAAAACTTCTTTGTAAATGTTGGTTGTCGATAGAATCACTAGTACCGGTACCTAAGTAGCTACGTAATTAATTGTGCACCGAAGACGTATTAATACTAACATAGGTAAGTATGTATATTTTATCGGTGGTTATTCTGTGGTATAGGCCTCATAACTAATTCAATTAATTATGAACACATGTCATTTAAACCACAGGTTAGGCTGTAATTATGGTGAGGGACCTAACATAGGCACAGTTTTATTGTAACATACGATGTACCTACCTAGGTAGGTATAATAAGTATGAGTACGAAGGCTGGGTGGGTAATTTTGTTAAGCTGTAGAGTCATTTATTAACCACTCAAAATAATTTATTGGTAAGTAGAAATTACGTTACCCGGAGTTGCGGACGACGTAGCAGGTTATTCAGAGTCCGGCTTGAAGCAGGTTTGGGAATGGCGTGGTTATTAGTCAATATCTGACGCGCCCTCTCGTCTCTGCCAAGGCGGGAGAAGACATTGGATAATTTTCCCTCTTAAAAAGGTAGAAAATACGTTGAGTAAATATTACTTATTCTCAACTTATTCAGGCAACCCTAGAATGCTAGACCAGCTAATACTAAAGCACACTCATTAATACAACTTTGAACACGGTTTGAGTTATTCATGTGTATATCTTCGTGTTACACAGAAACGCCTGGTTTGATATGCTGATTCCATTGCAGTTAACTATGATAGGTTTGTCAAGTGGCGCCGGCGCCAGTCTCTGTATCATTCTACTGTAATTCCAACGCGTGCGCACCGGAAAATTTAACAAATTGTAATAAAGTTTATGAAACTTACAAAATATTGTTCATTTTTTTACTATTTTTTGTAAGAATAGGTGAATACTTACTGATAGATAGGTAACCCCAACCAATCAAAAACTTCACCCACATCACGTTTAGTCATATTGCCTAGTTATATGCAGACAAAAAGATTTTTGTTGTGTTAAAAATGTAACCAATTACTTACCTACCTACTCATGTCACGAACATTCATTCAAAAAACCCTATTGGTAGGCACTTACTTAGGAATGTGTATAATAAATATACAGTTATTTGATTCACCTTCCAATAGGTACCGACCACATACAAGTTCAAAGGCAAATGTAAAAAAAATATGATTCACAATAATGGCAACGAGTAATGTTATTATTTTATTGCATTTATATTAGTCACTGCGTAACCACATGTCTTTGTCCTTTCTCGAAAATCTGCTGATAACTTTATAGCCCAGACGAGGAACAGACAATGACACATGCTTCCGAGTGTGGAGACACGTGTAAGGACATCGCGTACTTATTGTTTATTCAGATTTTTCTTAAGTCATTAGCAACAATCAATCTACCACAACATACTTAAGTACTTATTTTATTGCATTTCAAGCTCATATAAATCTTTCTCGCAACGAACGTAATGTTCAATAAGTTGCGTTTTGCCTTATTTTTTAATAGGAAAATACGCTTTACGCGTCTGTGTCTGACACGGTGAAACTTACAAAATATGTATGATTATTTTGTGTAGCAGCATGCCAGCACAGTCTACCTACATTAAGGAACTATGCAAACGCTTAGCCAAATGGGCTAGACGTTGTAAATAATGTAGATAGAGCACTGAATGTAACAATAAACCAACTTATACACTAGCATACGTACATACTACGACACCTCAAACTGGAACCAAGATTTTCTCGATAGATACATAAGTAAGTATAGACAGGAATTTTATTTTAAATCGTGAGGGAAACGCGGAGTAAAACTAATCTGTCAAAATATGTACTTAGACAGGAAGGTATAGGTACCTGGTACATATTGTATTTAAAGGACAAAACGCAAAGTACGAACTGCATTTCAAAGAAACATTTAAATAAAAGCGAGTGTAAGTACTAAATATAAAAGTAAATGACGCGTTTCCGAGGAACTTTTCTTTAGCACTTTGTTATGTTTGTGTTTTTGTATGAGTTCAACTTAAAATTCGCTTTCATATCGCTGTTCATCGGCCGCAGGCTGTGCCAAAGAAAGGGAGTGGCAGATGACATGAAAATGTATGGTGCCACACCCCTTTACTGCTCGGGTCGGCTCGAGATAAGTTTCACTTTGTTATTTTTCTTGTCCGTAACTGCTTAGGTGATGAAGGCTGGCTTTATGCAGCGAA